TTTTAAATTTGAGTTTATTTTTCTTTAAGTTTGTGTTTGTCCACCAACATGCCATTGATTTAATAATATTCATTGCCTTGTGAAGGATTTTTCTTCTTAAGATCAAATATTTCAAGTCTCATGGACAACAAAAATACTCATTGCCTTGTGAAAGATTTACCTTCTTGAGATCAAATCATTCAAGTCTCTTGGGCAACAAAAAACATGGTTACTTGATATGACGAACCTCAGTTGTTTTGGTGCATCATATCCAAGTCTCTAGTGTGGGTTCGAATTCCCACTAAAGCAGAAATCTTTATTTAACTGGTGTATGGATTTAAGAACCTGTTTATGCACCTAGGGTTTGCCATCAGTTATACTCAAACTCACGAGCCTAAAGCAATATAAGTATACCTCTACTCGTTGGAGACAGACTAGGAATTTTCCCTGTCACCCAAAAAAAATAAAGTTTATGTTTTGTCCATTAAAGTCCTCTATATCAAATTAAATTTTTACTCAAATATTGGCTCAAATTCGAGTAAAAAAATGAGCGAAAGGTTAAAAATATTCTTATATTTTCACAAATAATCATATCCATCCAAATTCCCTTAATTTGTTTGTATTCATACTGAATCACGGCTATGAAGTTAGATTTTCATTGGCCTTTGAAGTTTCCACATTAAGGTCTGTTGCCCTTTTAGGTTTTCTTAGTTTAGTCCAAAATTTAAATTAAAAATTTAAGAGAGAATTACGCTCGCACCCAATAAAAATGGTGTAAGTAGAATTCAATCTTATCACACATAAGTTTTTTTTTTTTATCAGGAAAAACGTACAAAAAGAATGACTAGTTGGTAGTCATCTCTGGACATGACCATTAAGATATTTTTACTGTAAAATATTTGATTTAAACCATAATTATTAATCTAAAAAGACAATCTCGTTACCACAAAATTACTAAAATTAAATTATAAATCGCATTATTGTCGGGAATCGCACGTAATTTCATATAGATGTATTTCATAGTGAAAAAGTCAAGCTTGGCATGTCATAAGAAAATGCTTCTACAATAACTTATCTGTTCGTTAGTATCTGGTCTGGAGAGGTCATTTCACACAAGTTGAAAGAATAGTACAGCTAGATCAGGGTGGGACATGTTTCCACCACATTGCAAGATTGAGAAAAATATCATTATATAGAGGTTTACAGCTTATTCACGTACCCTTAGACAGCTAATTTCAAAGCCTTTGAACCCATTGTTTTTGGCTAAACAGCTCAACACTTTCTTCCTGCCAGTGAAAAAAGAGAAACTAATACAACGATTGTAGTGTCATGTTGTTGGACTTTGTGGTCGTGATTTCGAATTTTATTGTTCTCTTTATTATAACAAGGTTTGACAAATTTGTATGAATAGTCCAACAGTACAGAGTTGGACATGAATGAATTGTAAACTCAAATATCATAAGTTCGATTCTCATTGATATTTCTTGAACTTAATTAATATATGTATTTTGCAGATGATTGTAGGTAACTCAGGTTTACTATTGTAGAAATGGGTTCAAAGTAGTTTTACCTTGATTAGGTAAAACAATAATAATAAAATAAATAAATAATTTCTAACAAAATCCAGCTCCCAATTTTATTTTATTTTTTCATTGAAAGCAAAAGGGTCCACGGCCTCCGCTCTAGCCCGATAGCCTGACAGCCTATCGGGTCATCGGGCTATGGATGATCCGCTCCATCACATTGCACTCGTTTAAAAACTCAGGTGTAGTTTAAGGTCAACTTTTTCTGGATCATTAGGCCCAATAGGTTGGCCCGATTAAGACCCGTTATAGACTCTATTAGCCTGTCAAAACTGAAAAAATGAAAAAAATTTAACAAAATAACCAAAAAAAAAAAATATGGCCATTAGGGTCGGACAGACTATGATCCATATCACTTGTGGATAGATTATATCAAGTCCGGACCCATTGAGTTATTGGATTGACCAGTCGGGTACACCTGTTTGGCCCGTTGCTGAGGCTTAGTTCAATTAATTAATGATTAATATTCAATATTAATCCAGAATAACAAAGAAATGTATATAAAATTGTGTATGAAAAGTCGATTTCGAATGTCTAAGCCATGTGCCAGTTCTTTTGGGGAAAGCTACGATTCAATGGATGGAGTCAAACAAATGTGCTACATATAAAAAATACTACTTTATTTTGTGATAATGTTAAAAAAAAAAAAAAAAAAAAGAGTAACGAATAAGAAACAAGGATGATTTAACACCATTAAAAAAAAAACTAGGGAACAAAATGCTGAAAGGGAAGTGCCACCAACTTGTTATGAGTTTGACTATTGAGAAAATTTTAGTCGCATTCTTTTTAATTTATTATATTTTTAAAGATATTGTCTCTATTATTAAAAATATCACTGACACTCATTCTAATTTATATTTAAACATCACTAACATCTTCTGTCGTTACACCACTATTTATAATAAAAATAAATTATTTAAAATACAAAAATTACCCTTACATAAACCCCAATCAATCTTTTTACATAAAATTTGAGTTGATTAAAATTTATTTTTTTATATATTGAAATTTGAGTTGATTAAATTTCTTTTCTACATATTAAAATTTGATTCGAATTGATTAAATTTATTTTTTTACGTATTAAAATTCAAGCCTATTAAAAGACTCTTTTTTACATATTAAAATTCGAGCTGATTTGAACTATACTTAGACTGTTAGTCCTAATTATAATTCTCTTCAAGTCAATTAAAATTTATATTTTTTTATTTATTAAAATTTAATGCGAGTTAATTAAAATTTGATTTGAGTCTCGAATAGAATTTTAATTAGTTAAAATTTTAATACATTAAAAAAATATATTTTTTAATCGATTCAAATTTTAATATATAAAAAAAATTTTAATTAACTAAAATAGAATTTTGATTGGCCTGAATTTTAATACGTAAAAAAGTTTAAAAAATAGAGGGATTCTATTTAATGATAGCCTTATCTAGAGCGAGGGTGTGGATAAATTTTTTTTTAAAATATATCATGAGAAATTTAATAAAATTATATTCTAATTAACACTTTTAATCTGGCAATGGTGTTAGTAAAGATTTAGAACATAGAAACAATGTCCTTGAAGATATGATAAACTAAAATGGATGTAGATGAAATTTTCCCTTAACTGGATTAGTTGTAAATCTAGACGTTCTAAATTTGAAAGATTTATCCTTCATGAATATTCTAATTTTGGCGTAGATGGTCTGCCTTTGATCGAATTAAGGAAGAGATTAATTGATGTGTGTATAAGTTAGCTCGGACACCCTTGACCAGTAAAACAAAATAAAAATTAAAATTGGGGTTGAGTTTTCTTAAATGGACTTATAATGACTTGAGTCTGTCGATGAAACTTATTTGATGATAAATTCATTTTTTATCTTACTAATAAATCCTTAAGTACATTATTTTTTAAAATTTAAAAAATACTCTTCCTTGAAATGAGGTTAAATTAATTTCATATCTTGAAAATTGTTATTCCTTAATTCAATATCAATTAAAATATACCAATAAAATCTCTATCATGAATTTAAAATTTAAAATCAAAATTCTGTCTCTCTCTGATCAGCCAGTGGCGACGTTGTCACCATCTTCGTTCGTCTCTCTCCTCCATCGACGATGCTGTTTTATCAAGGTCAGACTTTTCTTCTCAAAAATTCAATCCACCTCATAATAGAATGTACATCTAAGTGATGACGGATGACTAGATAAAGCTAAGGCGACAAATCTCAATCTATACTGCCATATGTGAACAACTTGTAGATATGTACAAAGCCGCCAGTGCTCAGCAGGATCTTGTTGGTCTTCTCCCTCACTAGAACTTGATTCCTTGTGATGCATTAGTAGTTGAAATTATGTTTTGGTTAAATTAAATTAGTTAAAGTTGTTAGTGTACGATAATGGGTGATCGATTGGTTTTGAACATTGGCTATTTCACTTTTTTGTCGATTATGCTTTTTTTTTTTTTTTTTCTAAGTTTATTTTCTTTTAATTTTTTATGAGTTATGTCAATTTTGTGGGTAATGGATGATAATCTATGATCCTTCTTGTTAATTTTCTACTTTTTTTAATTTGTGATATTTTTGTAGGATTGATTTGTTAAATTGAATGTTTCATGTCACTATTTTTTTTACTATGTTATTGTTTTTGTTGAGTATGTTACTGTTTATATTCCTATTATTTTGAATATGTTAATACTATTATTTTCCTAAATATTAATATTCAATATTACTATTTTTTTTAGTTTTTAAATATTATTATTTTTTGTGTTTGAATGATATGTTTTTTACATTTGAATTTTGAGAGAGATAATTATTGTTTAGCATGCTACTATTTTTTTTGAACATGTTACTATTGTTATTTTTAAAAAATATTAATATTGAATGTTACTATTTTTTTATGTTTAAATGTTAATATTTTTTTGTATTTAAATGATATTATTTTTTATGTCTAAATGATAACTTTTTTTGGTATTTGAGTATTACTATTTTTGGTATTTGAATGTTACTATTTTTTAGTTTTAACCCATATATGAATATATAAACAGATATGAGAGAGAAAAAATTTTAATGTTAGTCAAACTCCTAAAATTTAAGAGTTTTTAATTTTTAATTTTACTTAACTTTTAAAGGAATGAATAGTCTGGTAAAATTGACAAAAAATAGACTTTATAATAAATAAATTTTTTTTGCGGATTTAAGTTTAAACAAGTCTATACAAGATGACCAGTCTCCAAATTTTTTAAAAAAATAAAGTAAGCCCAAAGGACAGAATAAATGAAGACCAACAACAAACTGTACATTTTATGTAAAAAAAAAAAAAATTATTATCTTTTACAATAAATAAATATGAATTATTGGATTCACGAGTTCTATTACTATTCACTAAGAGACTAATTATTATGAAAGTTGAACATAATTTTGTATAAAAAGTAATATGCCTTTTATTAAAAGTACAACTTTAAAATGGTTTTGTTATCTGAATGAAGTCAAATAACAAGATCAGATTAGTGACTAATTGAGTCTAACAAAATTGATCATCGTTAATTTTTCTGAATATTCTACCAACTACATTTTTGGTTGAAAACAATATTTAATTTCTTACTTCTGTTATTTGAGAATATAAATTCTGTAAAACACCATAAATCCGACTTTTTTTTTTTTTGTTTCATTTAGAGAAAAGGGTTTGAGGGAATAATCGGAGTAGAATTATTGTTTGTGCGTGACTATAACTACTTGAACCAACGGGTGAAGCAGACTGAAACTGCAAACCCGTCCAAAGACCAACTTGAGTTGAAGCCTAACCTCGCACTATAGGATTACCACTTAAGGCAAGGAGAGTTCTTATGAATTGACCCTACTTGCTAATTAATTTCTTAAAAAATAAGAATTTATATAATAAAGTCACTTAAATTCAAATTTTAAAAGATAAAAAAAATAATTTTTACTATTCGTGGTTGAGATTGTTTTAAATTTTACTTTAAAGTTAATATAACGACTAATATTAATACCCTAAATTTAATAAGAAAAATAGACCCTTAAGAGTGTGTTTGAAGTAATTTTTTAAAAGTACTTTTATAAATTATTTCTCATAAATATTTTTTTTTTTAAAAATAGTGTTTGAAATCGCCCCACTACCACTACCACTACTACCACTGCTACTACCGCCAACACCACCATAATAGCTACCGTTGCCACTGTTGTCACCACCATAACCACCACCACCATCACCACCATCCCCACCACCATCGCCATTGCCTTTGTCGTTGTCACCACGACCACTGTCGCCGTCGCCACCCAACCCCACCCCAATCGTCACCTCTGTCGCCTTCACCACCACCACCACCTACACCATTGTTGTCCTCACTGCCACCACGGTCATTGTCATCCACCATAATCATCATTATCTCCTACCACCACCATTGCTACCCACCACCTCTCACCTCTCACTACAAATCGATGCCTAAATTCTTTTATCTCTTCTTTATATTTGTGATTTGATTTTGAATATAAATACAAATATATTTATTGTTTATTATTTTTTATTACTTTGTGCCTTTAGACACAGACAATAATTAATAATCTTAAATAGGATAACAACTGGACTACAAAGTATCAACTCGATAGTGATACGACATGATTTGATATCTATTATTTTTGGACTAATCCCATTCATATGAAAAATGACGTTATTTTGGAGCAACTTCATAACCCTAATAAATTACTATATTATGAGTAATGTTATTTGAATTTAAAAATCAGACCTAAATTACTAATTTAATGATATAATCTTAATGAAATTATTAGATCAATTACTATAGTGAATTCGGCAGCAAATTAACTCCCAAATTGTATTTGCTGATATAGCTATTGCTCAGGCATTATGCCAAGGCAGAGCTAGTATACTGTACATGACTCGATGCAATCCCACCTTGGGTTGCGTATAGAAGAACTGCTGCGCAGGCCGCACTGAGAATGCTACCATTCTCACATACCTGTCCCTTAAACCCTAATTCGACCTTACTTCTCACCATGAAATCTACTTCTGACCCATCTTCCAAAACCCCATATCTTCCTTCTTCTCTAATCCAAAGATTTCCAACTCCAATTCTCTGTTCTTCCCTCAAGGCCTCACAATTTCCAAGTGCTACTCTGCGACCCATAATGAAAACCCCATTCCCATTTCGAACGGAGACGAATCGAGAATTACAGAGCTCGAAGGAGATGTCTCCAGCCCACGATCTCACCTCGTGGTGGTCTCCTTCTATAAGTTCGCTGATTTTCCCGATCATGCCGATATTCGAAAACCATTAAAGGAGCTCTGTGAGCGATTGGTAATTGTTTCTCCTTTTGTGCCTGTGTGTATATTTCCCTTTTTGGTTTCGCTACTGTTCTTTGTTTGCTGTTTTTTGACATAATTTGGGTGGTGACTTTTTTTTTTTTGGTGGGGGGGGGGGGGGGGGGGGGGGGCTATACTGTAACTGGACCAGGATGCCAGTGAAATTTCAGAAGTTTAGAGTTCGTTGTGTTTATAGATTACTACTGTACATGTAATATCGTTATTGCTCAATGGCGTGTAATGGAAATTTTAGGATTAGTATGTTTGTCCTTTGCTATCTTTGCAATTTCTGAAAGTTTTTTTGCAGATGTGATTGCAGACAGTAGGGGCACTGATAATGTCGAGTCGTTATAGTTCTGGATTTCTTCCATTCTAATTGTCTAATGAACTTATGTGGGCAGTACAATAAGCTGCTGATTTTGCAATCCTGTCGTTTCAAAGATTCCTGACTTGGATTATTGAATTACGATCATGTCTTATGGAAGGCCAAAATTAGATTAGGTTGGCTCTGTCTAAACAGTTGGGAGGTGATGCTATTCGATTAACTACTTAGTTCGTATGAGGGCTTATGGATAAATGACGTATATGTTAGTAATTTACCCTCAAGTATTACGTAGTCCTCACTTTTCATCTTGTTTATAAGCCATTGCATCCATGTTCTTCATACCTCACCAAGCTCATGCCTTTCAGCGTGTTTCAGGTGGTATTATTCTTGCACCAGAGGGAATCAACGGCAGCATATGTGGGACCCAGGAATCAGTGGAAAAAGTGCTTGGATTCATTCAAACTGATGACCGCCTAAAGGGGCTTAGACAAGTGGAGTCACCGGTAAGTCCTGAGGAGGAAGCTATTCATCATGGACACACAAGCAGTTCTCCTCTGGCAGCAGGGGAAGATGCACCCTTCCGATGGGATCATGTGAGAGTGAAACTGAAAAAAGAGGTAATTTTCATCAATCAAGGACAGTAGGCTATTTATTTGCAATAAAGAATCTTCATTTCGAACAGTCTCTAGGAAATCCACTGCCTTTCTTTTCTCTGTAAGATTTCTTATGTATTAATTGTTACATGTTTAAGCAGATTGTTTCTCTTGGAATGCCTTCTGTATCCCCTATTGAAAGAGTTGGAAAGTATGTAAACCCAAGAGATTGGAATGCATTAATCAGTGATCCAGATATAGTAAGTCCCTGAATTTTAATTGGACTTTGCAAATACTTTTTGGTTAAATTTATCGACTTTGGTACAATGTTATATTTCAATTCTTTTTTATTTGTTTTTTCTAAGCTTCCAAAACTTTAAATCTTGATCATGCTTTGTTCAAATGTTAAGATTGTTAACATTTTCCACATCTTAAATTTTCTCTTCCCTTGGAATTGTATAGTTCCTCTAAATTCTTACATATAATAAACTTCATTTGATCTTAACTTAACTGTGGGAGATAAGTGTCAAAATCAACACAGGTGCAAAAATTTAAAATTTCTGTTAGCGTCTCATCACAAAGCACACCTCGATCAGTACGTATATTATGTTGTTCATATTTAAAATGAGAGGATTCCTTGATGCTGCACCCTGTTCCCAAGGTAATTTACGGTATTCAAAAAATGTAGGTTGTGATTGATGTCCGCAATGACTATGAAACTAGAATTGGGAAGTTTAAGGGAGCAGTTGATCCATGTACCACAGCATTCCGGGAATTCCCATATTGGGTGGAAAATCAATTCCAGCTTACTGAACCAGATGGTGAGATGGAGTCTGATGGTACAATTAAACGTAAACAAATGGAGAACCAAGAACAGAAAATGCCTCCTCGAGTTGCAATGTACTGTACTGGTGGAATTCGATGTGAGAAAGCCTCGAGTTTTCTTCTGAGCAAAGGATGTAAAGAGGTATTAATTTTTTCATCTGAGAATTCTAGTTTCTGCCACAATGCCTGGCAAATTAAATCAGCAGCCTGGAAGAAATCACATTTGTTAGTAACAATCTCTTGAAGGACAGTTTTTGCTTTCGCGTGATGTTAAGAAATTTTTGCTCAAAAACCTTTAAATGAGTTTCAGCATATGCTTTTCCTTCAGCATGCATCACCTACTTGTGCTTATTAAAGTTGAAGCTAGTACCCTCACGCACCTGGACAGGAGAGAGCACCTAGTATGATTGTCGTGCATACATTTTTTTTGCTTAGAAGCTTCCATCTAAAGAATACATATGAATCTTGATGAAGAAAAAATTGAACTTCTCGAAACTCATTTTAGAAAGCTATTTGAGAACCACCTTTTTATCCCTTTTACAAAAATATCATGTGCTACCGCAGATTTACAGCCTAGTTACTTAAACGCAGTTGGTTTTGCTTTTCATCTTCTTTTTCAACCAGGTTTATCATCTGGAAGGTGGGATTTTAAAATACCTCGAGGAAGTCCCAAAGGCAGCAAGCCTCTGGGAGGGTGAGTGCTTCGTGTTTGACAAGCGTGTGTCAGTTGAGCATGGTTTGGTACAAGGCAATTTCAAGCTTTGCTATGGGTGCAAGCAACCAGTGAGTGACGCGGACATGGAAGCTCCAGAGTGGGAGTATGGGGTTACTTGCCCGTACTGTTACTCATTGAAATCTGAAGACGAGAAAGAGAGGGCAAGAGCTCGGCAGAGGCAATTTGAGACATGGGGGATTATTGGTGGTCCGGACAAGGGTCGTTCACCAGCGAGAACAGCCGATGGGGTCGGCAAGAGTGTTACTGAGATGTCAAATTCATTGTAGGGTTTCCAACATTGAGTTCTAAGATGGCGGTTTCTATTAGGAAGAGGACTTACAGACTGAACTATTTAACGGAATCAACAGGTGAATGTTGTATGCATCAAGCAACTGTTTTCCTACGTGATAATATCCTCGTTTCTCAGGGTGAGAAATGTCATTTTCTAAACAAGTGATGTTTTGATGGTCGTTTGGCACCACGGCACTGCTATTCATATCTTATAATCACTGAATATTTTCTCCAATAATAGATATCATATGTAAATGATCGATTTGGCATCACTAATGCTGTTGAAACATAATTTAAGAATATAATTTGAAGACTTAGGCCAATTTGGTATGTGGGACAAGGGACATTTGGAAGATTGGTTGGGAAATAAAAGTTCACAAAATTAAGCAAACCAATGTTTGACAACTAAACTTTTAGTCCAAGTTATCAAGTTCAGCTTGCATTAGGCCCGTAATTTCAACTCAAGCTCATGGGTTTCATGAAACCGGTTGGGGGAGGGGGGAAGGTTTTCCGATGGGGGTTTGGATTAGTTTGGTTAAGGGCACAATAGTCACTTATATATAAATATATTATCATAATAGTGATATATTTATGTGCATACCAACGATGGGTATGTACGAGATTGAATATTGAATCTCATCTTTATAAAGAGGGTTTGAATTTGAATAGGTTTTAACAAGTCAATCCAAATTCTTCCCAAAAAATCAACCAAAGAGGCCCTTAATGTATTATGATTATTGAATTATTAGTAGCATTGAGATCCACTTAAAATTTAATGTTGAGATTTACAAACAATCTAAAAATCACAATCATTTAGTCTTCAAATTATTTTTCAATTGCATTGTTCATTTGACATATATAGAAAAGACATCATTTTACAGTTTATCACATTTTTGATTAGGCATATATATATGTATGAAATATACTATACATTTATGTTATGTTCATTGAGTTACAATCCCACCTCTTATTAAGCTATTCTATTTTTACTTGGGCAAAATAAATAGAGAAATATTGTGTCTATTAAAATTTTTTAACTAGTCTGTGAAAGTTTGTGAGACTTACAAGTCTAATGATTCTTGGATTAAAAATTTTTGGGTAAAAATTTTGTTAAATATTAGCTTCTTTGAAAAAAAATTTGTTTTACCAGCTGAGCGAAAGTTCTTATGTTATTAGTGGAATGACATTTTGTTGAATCAAAAAGGTTAGGTTAGTAGTAATTCAGTAACCTAATAAATCTTTCATAAGTATTAATCCTGTACCTGAGCGGAAAATATTATAGTGATCATAGTTGAGATATATAAACATTTTGTTGGTACTTTCTCCGACAAAAATGTTCCAAATTCTCATTTTCTCGTTATAAAAGTATTTTTGCCTTAAATTAAGACTCAAATTTAAATTTGAGTAAAAAAACTTAAAAAATTTTTGATTCAAACTTTTACCAAATCAAGAGAGAATGAGAGACACAAATTTTTATCTAAATTTTTAATGGTGATATTTTATCATTTTTTAAAAATCTAACAGTCATCTTTATTCTCTTTTAAATTTAGTTTTACCCACATTTAAATTTGAGTTTATTCATTAAAATTTTTTTTTATATCAAATCAAATTTTTTATTTAAATTTAAATTCAAATTTAAATCATGTCGGAGATTCTCTTAAAAAAAGAAAAGGTGAAAACCAAAGGTGTCATTTTTCCAAATTATAGGGCTCCATTGATTGCTGTCAAAGAACGCCGAGCATGGCCGGTGCAGCTGTATCAGGATCGGGCCTCTCGAAGTTCCTGCCCCCAAAGAAGAGACCGCAAGCCATAAACATCCAGGCCGCCGTCATGTGGGGTGTCGCCGCCACCACCATCGCCATTTGGCTTATCCAGGTCCCGTATTTGTTTCAGACCTCAAAATCTCTCTCATCTTAACTTCCAATTCTAAAATATTTTTGTCGTGTTTACTCGTTTTACCATCTATTGGTGCCACCATGCCTGGAACTGAGGAGAAGACGAGAGTGGTGGAGAAACAAGTCCTTGTGGATAAGAGAATGAGTTTCTTATCTCTTGTACGACTTATGGGGAAGTGTACGATCTTCAAATTGAAATTGATGTGATGGAAAATCAAAATAGAAGTCACAAGGGTATTCATATGCATGCAATTCATTTCAAAGTCCTAACGAAGGGAATCTAATGCTCAGCCCAACTTATGTGAACTTTTTAAGTACAATTAACATTTTTCTTTCGGCGTTCCCAATTGGTTTTCGGTTACTCCGTACAGAATTAGAAATTTAGAATACAATTTTTTTCTACACATTAATATGAAGTTTGGGGTTTCAACCAATTCAAAGTTCTTGTTGAACATACAAATCTATGTGATGGGATGGGACACTTCTGGCGAAGGATAGAGATTTGATAAGTGTCCTCGCCACCAAGGACGCCTCAAGCTCTTTGATGATGCCGTGTGCCCTCCACACTGAGAATACCTCAAGTTCTCAAGTTCTTGCTGAAGCCATGTGTTCTCGGCATCGAGAACACCTCAAGTCCTATGATGTTGATACATGTCCTTGGCATGATTGAATCCCAAGGATACCTTTGGACACTTCATCTCGGCTCCTGGATGGATTGTTGACGACTACAGCCTATCAATCTTAGAGTTAGACTGCGAATCATTAGCTTGCCTTCCAACGAAGTCAGAATGACCGGGAACAAGACCAGTAACCAAAGGAAGCTAAACACATGGCGGGAAGTACAAGAATAAGGGCCAAAAGACAAAGAGACCCCTACTTATATGCATTCGTCATAAAGGAGCATTTAATGTCCCTCAGAAGGATGGGACGTAGTTAACACTCGGGAGTCTTGGAGAAAGAGCATTAAATGCTCAGGAGCCTTGGAGAAAGAACTTTAAATGCTCGGGAGGCTGAATATTTAATGCATAGGTCACGTTCCAGTAGAAGGGAGGGAGCACTGTCCAATGACTGGGTACTGCTTACTACCTACCGGTCAGTAATGATAACCTCCATGGTAGGTATAAATACCCCTCTAAAACTCAAAGCAACGGTACGCAAATCTAATTCTTAGCATATACACAATACTTTTTCTTTCCCTCTCTCACAAAAACTGACTTGATCGATGGAGGGGATGCGCCAAAAAACACTCCAGCACCATTCTAACCCTTCTTTCGGTGTCAGGAACTGCCCTCAACTCACCAGAATCAATTGGATAGCCTTGAAAACAATTCATCACCATTTCTTAGGCCTTCTTTTACCACGGGATCGTCGACTTTTGAGGTAAATACGAATTCATCAGAGGAAAGATCTGTTTTTATTTATTTACTGTGCAAAAAACTTCCCACACACTATGAATTCTATTATTCAGAGCAGCAATAGTGGACATGATTGGATAATAATTTTGTTTAGGGGTCTTTGATGGTTCATTAGCTGAAGGATCTTCTCAATTGATTTTTTTGTTTTTGGGGAAAACAAAGGTACAATAATAAGCAAAAGTAAGGGAGGCCGGAGGGAGATAGACCTTTGTGCAGGTATAGAGTCCGCCCGGGTTTCACTTTCCCCGACACAAACTATCCCTCGCGGAAGCCATTTTATCTACTTTTTTTTTTGGGTGTGTTTTTCTGTTTGTTGAGGCTGTGAAAATAAATTTGCTTTATCTTTTGGTCCTTTTATGCTTAGTTTGTATTTGGGATTTTCGTTGATTAACATGAAATGTTGCTTGTTAGCAATGCAGAAAAGTTTGTTTTTGTACTCTGTATGTAGGGCATTATGTTTTCCATTGTATAATATTTGCTACCTGTAGGAATGGAAGAGGATTTTCAAATCATATCATAGTGTTCGGGTTTGTATTGATTTGAGATATAATTTGAGATCCTTAGCAATGCTCTTGTTCAACGTGCCTTCGGATTGGCATATATCGTAACATTTTGTCAAGCTATCATAGTATTTGTTTTTTCTTTACCTTTATTTTTCCCATTTAGCATTCTTGTACTTCTTACTTTCTTCTGGTATCTTACGTTATTTCGTTTTTTTATGTATGCTCCACAGCCATTTGATTGGTTAAAGAAGACATTATTCCCGAAATCGGTGGAAAACAGGTGAATAATGAGGTTAGGTCTTCCTGGTCACTCTGACATGCAGATGAGCTTGGATTTACATGTTTGTGCTCTCTCTCTCTCTCTCTCTCCAAAAAAAATAAAAATAAATAACCAATTGCATTAAGATTCTCTACTAATTTTCATTTGCAGAACCACTATGGTATACTGATAAAATTGAGAAAGTTACAACCACTGCACTGCTGACAGAATTGGGAAAATTACAATACAATCGGATTATTAGACCCCGGGAGAGAGAAGGGGATCCTTTAATTTAGCATAGTAGTTGACTGCTATGATAACTTAATTAAGTTTGTTCTCAAGAGCTATAACAAGCACAGTCACGGCCTTATAATTCCATAAATGAGGGCTTATCGGGGTGGTTTATGGACGTTCTCTTTTGTTCCTAATTTTGTTTTTTTTTTTGTGAAGTATCAAAAAACAGCCAGGTTTTTGTCTGATGTATTGGTTTACAGAGTTCTTGGTTTTTCAAATGTGGGATCTTATCCAATCAGGGGTACCATATAGATAGAGACAATATCTATATGCCTTTTTTAGGTTCACTTAAAACAGTCTTTAAGACTTGTTCTTTGGCCCAAATATGGTGTGATCCTGTTAGAGTTGGTGGTTCCAGGTCTGTCTTTCATCCTCGTATATAAATGAATAACCGTTATTTTTGGCCACAGATGCTCTTCACTTTTAACTAACTTAACTGTCAGATTGGTAACATTAATAGGAGGGTCCAACTATGATACGACAAAAAACGATTTTTTTGATACCATTATAATGAAAGTAGTGGCTGTAATACGTCTTTTTACAATTTCCTACAATACTTTTTAAAGGTAAATCACACACTCTATATTAGTGAGAGGTCTATTCATATACAACGGACCCAACTTTAAATTGATCTAGAGAAATTGAAGGAAATTCAGGTGGGTTGGCATGAGTAAAAAATCATTTGAAATTCAAAACATGAGGTCCTCAACCCGAAATTAAACCAATTATTACCTATTCTTGAACTTTTGAATTTTGAGTTATACAACTCGCGTTAAAATTTGAATTAAGTCTCACTTTCCTAATCTGAATTGAGTTCGGGTTGTGCTCCAAAAACCCTAATGTCTAGCCCTATTATCATTCAACTTTATTGATTGGCATAGTTACAGAGAGTTCGGATTCGCACGGATACATATAAATTAATTTTTGTGGACAAAAAAGAAATATTACAATTAAATCTCAAAAAATTTCATTATTCAGTATATTATTCTAAATGTCATGTACATCTTAATTAAAGATTTTGAATTTTATTCACGAGCAGTTGAATGAGAAGAAACTCTGGTATCTGATTCGTATCCGATTCTATGGTAGAGATAAAATTGAGAACTTCATGGAATGTAATTTGGAATGCGATGGGAGTTTGCTTGTCTCATTTTTTGCCTAAATTCAAACTAAATAATACAAATCTTTATCTAATTTGAGTTAGATGTGAGGTTGCCAGTTGGTGTAATAGTTATTGTCCTCACAGTTTAAATTTCGTGAATTTAAATTTCATAATTTCCTATTTATAATTGTAATAGTGTGTGACAAATTATTATTATTATTATTGGAAATAGATTTGGGTTACCCTGAGGTTGGGTCTATGTGAGTTCTAATTACAAAAAAAAAAAAAGGGTTTGGGTTTCTATGGACCCTAAAGTACTTCAATCTGGAGGACAACGCCCAGTTCCAACTGCCAAAGGTTTCCTCAAAACTCCTAATCTGAGTTATCATACGTGTTCAGACGTTAAACCGTCCGATCTAAAGCTGCTTTCTCGCTGCATCCACCGTCCGATCAGTGTCCAGCTGATATAACTACCTTGATAATCTCTCTTCCTCATTGTTACGTTCAAACTTCGAGGTCTCCACTCCTCACCGAAACTAGGGCTTCATTAACGGAGAAGCCGACAATAAGCTCCACGAGCCCAGCCGAACCGTTCAATTGCAATCTAAGATCTCCGATTCAACATCACAACAGGTTCCAATCCATATCTGCATTTCACTTTTTCTCTGTTTTTTCATCTGTGCGGATGTTTTTATGTATTTTGAGATGAAGATTAGGGCTTTTGTTATTTTATAATGAATTTTGATTTTTTTTTTTGAAAGGATTGAGGTGTGAGGAGTGATGGCGAATGAACTGATTGAACTTTTCGAGGCTGTGAAGAAAGCGGCGGATGCAGCCGCAGTGGACGGCGGAGCAGAATCATCGCCGGAGGAAGATCGGTGCCTCGATGCTTTGAAGCAGCTCAAGAAGTTCCCTGTTAATTACCAAGTTCTCGTCTCCACGCAGGTTATGGGATTTTTTTTGTTGCTTTCCTTTTTTCTATTGCTATTATTCAAGTCATATTTTGGTATACATGTGTGTGTGTGTGTGTGTGTGACGAGCTATATTTGTATGAAGAGTTGTATTTGTATTTCAAGTTTTGAACTGTGGAATGTCTCTGTTTAGTTTTGTATGATTTGATTAATGAAACTGTGAAACGTTGGAAAGACTTGAATATGTTGGATGTAGATTTGTTTTTGGGAAAGCGAAAAAAATAAAGAAAAACAATAATGAAAACGTTGGATAGTCACTTCCACTAATGAAACTATGTAGACAACTGTTAGGGTATATCACACTTTTCTCTGCAGTTAAGTGGGTGTATAGTGGTTTTGTTAGTCAATTTTCGGCACTGATATTCGTGTAGTACATTTGCTAAAGTTACACCTTATTACACTGGTTTATTCAATGACTGGTTTTGTTTTCAAAAAAAGAAAAAATGTGAATATGAAAATTTGGTTGTATTTGCATCTGACCTTTACTAGTTTAAAGTCCTCTCTTGGTGTGCTCAAATTTCTTTCCTGAGGCTGCTTTTTTACTTTTTCTTTTCTTGTTTGGTTCTTTTGAAAATTTTCTTTTCATGTTAATTCGGATGCCAAATTGCAGAACTTTCTAGAACAATGAGTAGTATAGGTCTAATATAGAATTTATATGATTGAAACCTGTATAGAAGCCACTCTTTCTCATGCTCGACCTCCCAAGGGATGTGGGATCATGAAGGAGAGAGTCCTGTCATATGGGGAATTCTTACAATGAATGTCATATGGGGAATTCTTACAATGAATGACATATGGGCCTACACGGCTACACCTCTAGATAATTTTCAGAAAAAAAATTCTAAATTCTTCTTTCCGAAGATGGCCATCAAATATGGGTATAGAAAGTAGAAATTGCTTTGTGCTTGATTCTCCATTTGGTGTTTCGAGAGAATGAGGAAAGAAAGATGTTATGCAATGTGCTTCCAAATGGTGCAGTAATGCTGCTAATTCTACTATTTTTTATTGTGTTTTCTCTCACAATGTGTCTTCCTTCTACAATCTACATGTTGATATACAAGTTTCTGTAAGCTTGAAACAGACATTGGTTTCCCCCTTGATCTCACTTCTGTTTCTTTTGTTATACTGATTTCCTGGTAGGTTTGGTTCCTTTCTTCTAAGATCTTAAATGTTCGGTTGGTAGTTCTGAAGTCTAGTTTGTCGCAACACAAGTTGGTGCACATAATAAGTACTTACCATTAGTACGTTTACATCTAAGAAGCACACACTCTTGAAAAAATCACTTATCCATCGATATTTGTTGAGCATAATCATTTCTTGGGCACACTTGTATGTGTGTTCTTTACCTCTTTGGATGTTTCCATACAATAAAACAAACATTATTGGTGTCTTTATTGACAAATGGGAATATTATTTTCAAACACGTCTGATACATCTTGGACATTCGGTTACATGTGAGAAATAAAATTTGGAAACTAGATTTGACCCTCATAATAAAATCAAAACTGTCAGGAGTAACGAAGATAAGGTCCATAAAAAAATCTTTATTTGGTCTATATGACAACGTTAATTGTTGGATATTATGATTCTTAGGTTGAAAACTTTCTGTTATACAATAATTATAAGATTTATTTGTTGTCTCATGTTTGTACCGGTGGTTCTTAGATATACATGCATTATATTAGGGGTTTCATACATTGATTGTGGATGTTTTGCCAGTGGGTTCATGTAGTGCTGAAATGTAATGCCATGAGATGCTTCTTTGTGTAGCATTAAACTTTGGCACAGTGCAGACTCGTGGTTTATTTCCTTGATAATTATTATTTAAGGAATTACATTTCAGGTTGGAAAACGTCTTCGGCATGTGACAAAACATCCTAGGAAGAAGATCCAGGCTTTGGCCTCTGAATTGATGGACATATGGAAGAATATAGTTCTTAAAGAAACAACAAAGAAAAATGGAAGTGTGGACAATAAGGATTCTGTAAAAACTGAGCCAGCTGGTGCAGAGTCTTCCAAGGTTAAGAAGCTTCAAAAGGTGAACTCCATGAGGGCTGAGGCAAGTTCAAAAGTTCAAAGTGTGAAGGTTGAAAATATTGATCGAAGTGGTGCACTACACTCTGAGAAAAGAATAAAGGCAGAATATTTCTCGGCCACCACCAAGGCTGAAAATCTCGATGTTGTCAAGTTTGAAAAGAGTACTGCTGGGGAGAGCATAAAGGTTGAAAAGATAACCAAAGAAGAGAAACAAACTTCTAATGTGAGAAAACCGGCATCTAGCCCTATTGCTCCACCGAAGCTGAGTTCTGGTATTTCTTGTAAGGATCCCTTGCGGGATAAAATCCGGGAACTTCTTTCAGAGGCTTTATGCAGAGTTGCTGGTGAAGTTGATGAGGATCAAAGGGATGAAGTGAATGCATGTGACCCTTTCCGAGTTGCTGTTTTAGTGGAGTCTGCAATGTTTGAGAAGTGGGGCAGGTCTAATGGTGTCCAGAAGTCCAAATATAGATCCATAATGTTCAATATGAAGGATAATAAGAACCCAGATTTTCGGCGAAAAGTTCTTCTTGGGCAATTCAAGCCGGATAGTGTTCCTGGATTGACACCAGAAGACATGGCAAGCGATCAAAGGCAACAGCAGATTGAAAAAATTAAAGAGAAAGCATTATTTGACTGTGAGCGTGGAGGCCAAGCGAAGGCCACTACTGATGCGTTCAAGTGTGGTCGGTGTGGGAAAAAGGAAACTACTTACTACCAGTTGCAGACTCGGAGTGCTGATGAACCCATGACAACATTCGTAACATGTGTAAACTGCAATAATCATTGGAAGTTCTGTTAAGAGTCTCTTAACCTGCTGGCCACTTGTGATGTAATGGCATCATATGACGAGCTGTGCAGGTAGCTGTATTACTTTAATCTGGTGCTTCTTCAGTTAGTGTTTCATTGTTTTAGGAAATGGGATTTTTATGCCCTTATTTGTTAGTCGAGCCTATTTTTATTGTAAGAGATGGTATTTAAACGGTTCCAAAAAAAATTTCATTTTTCCATTTTCTTTTGAGGTATTTTTCTGTGGTTATTTGTCCATAAAGAACTATGAACTTTATTTGAGCCTGCGTGAGTTTGTTCAAAGTTAGATCGAAACTGGGGCGACAAGTGAACCCATCTTGCTTGAGGTGTGATTTTCTGAATTGCTGTGTCCTATTTTACTAGATCCAGAAAGCAGTTTTATTGAGCTTAGACATGAATGAGTTTCCTCCCATCTAAATGATTAAATTGCAAAGGACCAGATAGGTTGACTCATGATTCATCAGACTCAAACATGAGGCGATCGTTTGTTGAGGATGGTTTATCGATCATCAAATTCTCACAAATGGAATGGGAAGTACCTCACCAGCAACAACGCTCCTTCCCCATATGGAGTTCAGGACCTAAAGGCAATCGTTGAGCGAATTGTATTTTCTTTGTGGTAGTTGACCTAAATCTTGATTTCGTTTTGTTTCTCCAGCACTTATCGATCAGTGGGTGCCTACTTGAATGTCTCAATACCTTATGTTTGAATTATCTTAATGGTCTTTAGGGGAGGCATTAAAGAGGATCTCAACCAGCTCTAAGAATCCCAAGAAGGATCAGTGGGTGTCTACTTGAATGTTTCAATACCTTATGTTTGAATTATCTTAATGGTCTTTAGGGGAGGCATCAAAGAGGATGTCAACCAGCTCTAAGAATCCCAAGAAGGATCAGTGGGGGCCTACTTGAATGTCTCAATACCTTTGTTGAATTATCTTAATGGTCTTTAGGGGAGGCATCAAAGAGGATCTCAACCAGCTCTAAGAATCCCAAGAAGGTATGGCTTTTCTTGACCAGGCCGGGTATTGTGTGTGTGTGTGTGTGTGAGAGAGAGAGAGAGAGAGAGAGAGTATGGGTGTTCCCCTGAAATAATAACCAGTAAAATCATTCATCTTTCCACTAGTACATACAAGGTAATTGAAACTACTATCATACAGGTTCTAGAGTGTTACATTTTATTCAATGATTCAAAACACACTTTCTTTCAAATCCTCAAGAATCATGAGGAGTGTTGCTCTCCTTAAGAGCCTGGAAAACTCTAGAACTCTTGTCAAAGATCAAGGCTCTCCGATTATAATCAACAGGTTCTCTGCCGTCATCCTTCCCCATGATTGCTTCTCTCTCCAAGCACTCCATCAACTCCACAATTCCCTTCCTTTCTTTGCAATTCTCTCTCCACCTCTCTACGATTCCCATCCATTCTTCATCTTCTGAATTTATTTTAAGCTTCAATTCTCTCTCTATTTCCGATGCCGAACCCCTTTTAGCGCACTCCACCATCGACCACCCACGACCATCTTGACCACTCCCCCGCATTTGCCGGAGTTTTAAACTCCGGTCACCTAGTGGGATTCGATAAATTTGACTTGATTGTGATGGAATTGAAGGAATTTTGGATGTGGGTATGGAGAAAGATGAACAAAAATGGTGTGCCTCCATAGTAATAGTAGTAAAAGCCACACAAACACAAGAAAACCCTGTGGGACTTTCCAACTGGTGAAAGAAGTATAACAACAAAAGGATTGGATTTTGGAATGCAGAGGGGTGGGAATTATATAGGGATTGCGGCTAGATGTAGCTGAGGGGCCACTGTGCCACGTGTCAATACAGGATTTAAAAGCAGGCACCCGTAGGCGACCTTTGTTGGATATGGGAAGATGCTAGTCATAGATTCAGCAAGGAAAATGTGTTTTACTATGATACCAAAAAGAATCTTTGGGTAGCATACCTCAATTTGTGATCATTTTTATAAAAGCCAAGTGATAAAATTATTTACAACAAATATGATAAAAATATTCATAATAGTAATAAAAATAATAAATTTTTTATTTATAAAATAACTCATAAAAATCATACAATTACCAATTAAAATGATAAAAATTACAGTTAAGGTACCGAATTTATTTCTTAGGTACCGTAGTCAAGTCCACGAAAAATTTGGTTTTATGTTTCAATGGTCAATGCCACGTCGCTTTCAAATTGTGATTGGTGGTGGTTTGGTGACATAACCAGTGAGAAAATCAATCGCTTACTATAATGTGATTTATTTGGCACCATGGTCCACTTAAATAGGAGCTACCTAATATAAACTTTTTTTTATTATTTTGTCATAGTACTTTTAACATATATTAATGACAAATTAATGATAAATAATTTATCAAGAAAAAAAAATAATATATATTAATGAGAATTGAGTTCTTAAATGATGATTCACAAAACAAATATATTTATTTTACCCAAGTTGCGTGTTAGTCACGAAATGATGACTATTTTGTTATACTAAATTAGTGAACTTTAATGTAAGGATTAAATTGAAACTCAAATAAAATTTTACGGACTTACATGTTATAATTTGAACTTTAAGGACTAAAAAAGAATTAAGTACATACTTTAAGGGTATAAATTATAATTTATTCTAAACATTACTTGGCGCAAAGGCATTAAACTCTCAGAAGGCTGACATTTCTTCCCCATTGACACTTCTTGTCAAGTTTCTGTTTCATATGCTTCAATTATTTCCAAACTTATCCACATCCGTGACCGTTCTTTACTTGACGTGTTTATAATGGTATTTGACAATTCTTCTCCCCGATCAGCCATTCACAAACAAATTAATCAGTCAAATGCAATTAGCTAAAACCTGATTTTCAGCCTATCCCATAAATAACATGCTCAGAAAAGTCATATTTACACAATAAATTAGTGGATTAGAAAACCTAGCATTAAAGTGAATTCTCTCCAATAAGCTGGTCCATGTTTCAGCTGCTTACTGGATGTCATGCTGTCGAAGCATTGTTACACTGTGCTTCCTCCTCAATATGCTGCTAAACAAGAGATTGACTTGCACAAAAGCTGACCTTTGAAATGAACAATAGCTTAAGATTATGTCATGTGCTTGATTCCTCTCGACGACTGTAAAAGCAGCGCATGGATGGTGACAAATGCATCGTCCAAATTTCCTTCAATATATTTTTCCTCAATTGGGAATCCACAGTATATTGGTGAGGGAACCATTTATATACAGTCGGTCCCACTTCAATTCATGACCAAGATCTACGAAAGAATATTGGAGGAGATCCAAATCTGCACAAGCATTAAGCATCAACTTTGCTTTCAATAATTTAAGTTGTTTGCTCCATTAGTCTCCTCTCAGCAGCTACAACAGCAGCGACAGAAGGTGGCAAATGCATTAAGCTTCCATCTGGCTTTTCGTTGCTTTCTGGTACTGTGGAGGGCACTACCTTAAAGAGGGACTCAACATCTTTAAGTGTCAGAACAGGATGATCTTGATTCTTCTTGTTTCCACTGATGAATGATCCAGTGTTTCTGCTTCTATTCAGTTTATATATGCTTTCTTCAACCGTACCTTTCACCTATCACCAAAACCATGAAAAAATAAAACAAAAATATAATTGCTGTGAGGCCTTTTGTCAAGACATTAGTTTGCTACCACAGTTTGATAGGGCAGAAACAAATCAAGCAGAAAATCCTACAAGTGTCCAATTACACTAGATATGTCAACTGTCTTCATCAAAGCAAAGAGTTGAGCTCCAAATTCATTAGTATTTGAACATTGAAGTTCAAAGAATATAGTATGTAGTGACACTATTTATTCTGTCAATGAGGATTCTAAAGAGAAAGGGGAGGGATCCATTTGCACTGGTTGCTAAATTCAAATGCAGCCTTTGGGCGGAGAAGATCGCTCGAAAAGGTCAAGAAGATAAGAGTGCATTTGGATATCAGGTGAAATTTGGATGGTCCACCGTTTAATCTAGCATTTTCAGTTCTGAAATCCATCACCATGAATGGACCCATTGGAAATGACGGTCTTCTCATACAGACACATACAGATACTTTAAATATTGTACTTCCAGGAAAGCCATAAACTAGCCCTGTACCCTGAAATGGGGTGGTGTTTGCCATTTTGTCGAATATCGTTCAAGATTATGAAGTCTCACATCACATTTTTGGGAAGCTTACAATGGAGCCATTTGAACTAAAAGCCTCCAAAGAGAGCCCTGATGGACGAACACCTCACAGTATTGATCCACTAGGCAGCTGACAAATCACATTAAGAGAGATGTACATGAAGCACATAGTTGAACCAATACAGATTATAATTTCAAGCAAAAAAGACATCTTAGATACAGCACTGAACCAAGTGACCGTGTTTTGGTAATTAAACCATGGAACATGAGGTGTCACAATGATTCTGACACAGTTCAATAACCCAAGCAATCACATATGTAGACCATAGGATGGTGAATTGCACGTCTCAAGTGAATGTGACTAACATAGCCTCATTAAATATGGCAACACCATGACATCAAATATTTATAACAATCTAATATAGTGATGCACAGTTATAGAGAATCACATACTATGTAACGATGAACAAGCGTCTTATGCTTCTGCCCGATTCGATGCACTCTGCTGATTGCTTGTGCTTCTGCTGCAGGATTGAGTAGGGGCTCTACAAGAATAACATGCTGCGCTTCCAAAAGATTGAGGCCATTGGCCCATGTTGAATTAACAGCAGTAGTACTTGAACAGATTTGGTTTCTGGGGGCCTGCCATGCATCTTAGCGCCTATTTTCACATCGCTTCGATGTCCTTTGAAGTGGCTGATGGCAACGTGTGACTTTCTGCAAACAGCTAATTACATCAGGATCTTACCAACATGCAATTAACATTGAAACCAATCTATAACATCGAAGTTTCATCTACTAACCCTAGAATATTAATACATACTAGTTTTCTTCTTTTTACTTGCCAATTTCCATATACACTCCAACAAAACACTTGGGACCAAAAAAAAAAAATCCTATAAGTCTTCAGAGTATTTTACTTGTTATGAAAAACTTTATTTGCAGTTTGTCTTCTATCAAGCTCACCTTTCAGCAAGGCCATCCTCTCATGATTGGCAATACATTTACCATGGAAGAGGAAGAGGTGAGGCGGGGTAAGTTCGGGTCAGTTCTAACTGCTGAATAACTTATTAAAAGGAAAATTAATCTCTCTTTTCCATCATTCTACTCCTGAATTTTTTGCTTTCATTGTCGAAAATTCATAATGCCCTGCTTTTTGGTTGCAAAAATGCCCATCCTATGATTTTCGGCAACATAAAAGATTTTTTCTACTCGAGGAATAGTATAGTCCCATGGAGACACAATGTTTCTTTTTTATTTTTTTTGGGCTGTTATCCTCTCAAAATCCTTAAGAGGCTTTCCATAAACCATAGCAGTCGATTTATGCCATGTATTGTCGCAACTCAGATTGGCCCATCAGAGTTTATTCAAGTTGACAGCCCTTCATACCTTCAATCGCTAAAAGCCCACACGGGCCACACCACTAGTTACACTAGAGGGAAACAAATACAACAAATTTACATGTACATGGCACAGATTGCAATCAAACTAAAATCATATGAAAATCTCAATCAAGGGCAAAGTAGCGTCTCTTACCCATTTGAAGGAAAAAACGTGAACGTGAGATGGAGAGTTGTAGTGGTAGAAGTGAGATGCACTGAATAATCACCAGTAGCTTCATAACCAAATTCCGGTAGAAAAATGACGTGAAGATGCAAAGATGTAATATATGCTTTCATAATCAATTTTAATAGATGTTTTGCATTCGTTTTTGTAGTATATTCTGTCTTTTAAAAGCTCCAATACATAGATACAAGATGGATCATGAAGGCTAGTTGATATTGGAATTTGACGCATAGTGGAAATAAAGCTGCCCGTTTCTCACCATTCTCTTTAACTTGAGAAGGAAGCCCAAATTAAGGTCCTCCAAATTGTTGGAGTGGCACTTGTCAGAGAATTCCCCTTGTAATGGATTTTTTATTCCTCAATTCAATTTTATAACATTGCAATTTTTGAGCAAAAAGAAAAAGGGAAGTTCTTTGCATGGAACCTTACAAGGGTTGCTATGATAATTTGAGAAATTAGCACCTAAACAGTATGATCAAAGTACAACAGGAATTATTATAAAAATTATTACCTGCCGCCTTTCATTCTTATATAACTTATGTTATTAGCATTGAAGGCATGTTCCAACACATCAAGGACATCATTCCAACTAGAGAAAACAAGAACTTTTGCTTTTGGATCAGTAGAATTGAGTAACAGAATTCTCCTTGTGACTGCTTCAATCTGCAAAAATATAAAAGCAAATCTCAGTGAGGAACACATCATATGCGATGTCAAATGTATAAGTGCTGTAAGGGCAGAACTTACAGAGAAATACAGTTTATCAAACTAAGCAGGCTACCATTATATCAGACTCCAATTAATCCCCCATGTAAGCCAAACATTAAGCATGATGGTTGACACAAAAGTAAGTACAAGGGCATAGAGACACAAAAGAAGTACAAGGGCATAGAGGACCTAAATGAACAAGAAATGACCAGCTAGAAGCAAATAAGAAATGTGCACACAAAGAAGCTCACGCAGTGGCATATACACATACACATACACTTGCAAACCTACATGTATATTAAAAAACAAATGGTATTTATCTATGCATGCTATCTAAGGATTTTACATCATTGGGTACAGTGGATACCTTTGTTCCATATGAACCTTGGACAGTTATAGCAGCTTCAGAGTTCTCACAACCTTCATAAAAAGAAGAATTGCATAATTTATCCTGTCTATCATCTGCATAAGCTATATTCCCAAAATCTGTATGTTGTCGACATGTTGGGCACATTACCCATTTATCATGAAACTTTCCATGCTGAGATAGTCTTTCCTCAGTCATTGAAAAGAAACCTGCATGCCACAAAAATGAAGGTGCATACAGATGAGGAATATGATGGATGAATCTCCAAGTACGCATCGCATTAACAACAAAACATTTGAGTTGCCAAAAAGCAAAAAATTTATGCAAATACCAAGTAAATACTGCCATTCAATGGAGTTAACTAACATCGCTTAAAAAAGAGGGCTTCGTTAATAAGATAAATATTCATGTATTTTCAGTATTTTATTATTCAGAGTCAATGTTACATGTTCTTGTATCTTCTTTATTTGTAGTATTCAGTGCCAATGTTATATCAACAGTCAAAAATCCATTCTTTTTAATTTCAGGTATCACTCCAATAAGAATTCATACTTTTCTGTTCACTTTTGGAACTGCTCAAGAAAATGGATACGATGTAGACCATGAGAAACATACATTTGCAGCAAGTAACATGCCCACATTGAAAAACCATCTTTTGATTCCTGAGCTTTTCTTGACAAACTGGACATGCTTCCTCATCACCTTCAGCTGGGGATTCATTCTCCTTTTCTATAGGAGAAATCATAGAGGCCGGCTCAACTTGAATTAAAGATGACTTCCTCGGGCTTCCTGACTGCAGATTTTGTTTAGATTGTACTAAGCCCTGGGAGGAACAAACTTACAGGAATAAGTGCCAACAGCAGCCTTAAAGGAAAGGAAAAAGAGTAATCACAGTATATAAAAGTAAACTTCTTTACATTTTCAAGCATAAATTTCTAGCAATGAGAAAAACACAAGAAAGAAATTTTACCAGGTTAGCCTCTTTGATTGAACCGTCCAAAGAGAATTTCCAATGCCGAGAGAGAAGAGGGGGGGGGGGGGAGGGGATGCACGAAAAATCGATTTGTGTCTTGGCCAGTTTAATTATAGATTTATTGGCTAGTTTGATACATACACTGCAGAAAAAATGATTCCATTTGCTTAGGTTTTTGCTTTTTCTATTATCATGTAAATAAAATAATGAAAAATTATACCTACAGCTAACATTTGTTTGGTAATCCCATTCATCTACAAATTTGCGTATAAGAAAAATAATTTTAATTTCCTACATTGTTGGGTACAAAAATTTTCTACTTCCTGTCCTTGATTCACTTTCACCCCTTTTATATTATTAACAAGTGACGCTAGCCTTTCTTTTGTCCTCTTGTGGAATCCTAAGTGCTAACTAATTCATTGATGTAGACTAAAAAATGTTTCTTCTCCTTGTTCTCCCTTCTCCTTGACCATGATACATGCATGGGGACGCACGTGCCACAGCATTAAAAGTTCCTAACCCCCTGATCCTACACTATAGGAGCATGGCTAAAAATTCATTTAAAAATAAATCTACTATTTCTTAGGGCATAATGGTGCTTTTATGTAACATTGACTAAAATAACTCATTTTGAAGCAACCATCCATTTAAAAGAATATAATAAGAGAGAATGAAAATGTTAATTAGGCATGCTGCTGGGAAACTGAACAGGTGTTCTGTGCCCAAGTCCAGCATCGAAAAATCTTATTTGGGGGGGGGGGGGGGGGATGCACGAAAAATTGATTTGTGTCTTGGTCAGTTTAATTATAGATTTATTGGCTAGTTTGATACATACACTGCAGAAAAAATGATTCCATTTGCTTAGGTTTTTGCTTTTTCTATTATCATGTAAATAAAATAATGAAAAATTATACCTACAGCTAACATTTGTTTGGTAATCCCATTCATCTACAAATTTGCGTATAAGAAAAATAATTTTAATTTCCTACATTGTTGGGTACAAAAATTTTCTACTTCCTGTCCTAGATTCACTTTCACCCCTTTTATATTATTAACAAGTGACGCTAGCCTTTCTTTTGTCCTCTTGTGGAATCCTAAGTGCTAACTAATTCATTGATTTAGACTAAAAAATGTTTCTTCTCCTTGTTCTCCCTTCTCCTTGACCATGATACATGCATGGGGACGCACGTGCCACAGCATTAAAAGTTCCTAACCCCCTGATCCTACACTATAGGAGCATGGCTAAAAATTCATTTAAAATATAAATCTACTATTTCTTAGGGCATAATGGTGCTTTTATGTAACATTGACTAAAATAACTCATTTTGAAGCAACCATCCATTTAAAAGAATATAATAAGAGAGAATGAAAATGTTAATTGGGCATGCTGCTGGGAAACTGAACAGGTGTTCCGTGCCCAAGTCCAGCATCGGATACTTTATGAACTTAAATAAACCCATGAAACATTGGTCATCACTGGTTTTGGATGACCTCTGTCAGGTTTAAAGGATTCAAATGTGACATAAGTCTTATGCTTCCTCTTCTTTGTTTGATTGTTCACACAATTCTAGGCAAAATCTTCAGGACATTTTGATAATGAAAACATGCTAATCTGAAAAGAACTTCTGGGATATTTTCTCACTGCTACGAATGTACGGTAGTGGTACACTGTATGGGTGATGCAATATGTGTTGGCCTTTTGGCTATCTTAGCAGACAGCCTAAACAAGCAAAAGATTGTTCATTGAATCTAGTTGTTACGAAGGAAAAGATTATCTTAAAAATACAAATTATATTCTCCGAAACCGTCTTCATTTCTTTATGTACTCTTTGTTTGCACATTTGCATAAAACTTGGTTGATAAAGGTATACTAAGCTGAAGATACCTTCATCTTGTAACAAAATTTACACTCCAGTAGTGCCTTGTACATGCATGCTTCAGTACCTACCTCAGTTGAAACTTGGGTTATCGCAAGCATTTTTCTCTCCAACATATGTGCACACAAACACACACCAATTGAGACACCTTATGACTACCAAAATTGTTGTCAATTACGCAAAAGGAACAACATCAAAATAATCGTTTTATGAATTTTTGTGAAATAATGAAAAATGACAACACAGCCAAAAAATAAGGCCTTGTAACATTTACCTTCAAATAACGAAGTTGCCCTTTAATCCGTGATAATGAGGACAATGCCAGGAATTTATCGCTAGAATTATCAGCACTTGCTACATCTAATTCTCCTAGACTTAAGGCATCGATAGATTTATCATCCTCATTCTCTCTCAGGCGTAATCGTGAGGCTGCCATCTTTATTTCATCGTGAGCACGCAGAACTTGTGCTTGAGCAATTGCCAAGGACCTTGCTTGAGCATACTCCTTACGCATTCCCTTACCAAAGTAAAAAAAGAAAATGAAAAAAAGTAAATAAATAAATGTTGGGATATATGTAGGAGGCAAGCATGCTTGTGTTTAGCATGAGGAAGATATAGCTTAGTTTCTTTTGAACTAAAAAAACAAGTCACTAAGCTTAAGTAGTAATGTCTAAGAAAAGATGATAAGCAGCAAATGCTTATAAACAGACCAAAATCATACTCATCTATATAATAAAGTAGAACGAAGTTTGAATTCAAAAGACAAAGAGAGGTCCAGATCGTTTTGAGATAAAATATAAACATATCCAACGGACAACGTAATTCTAACATAAAAAACAGTTCAGATCATCTCAAAAATTTTGATCTAACGATCTACAGTTAGTCCTGAATTTCTTTTCCCGCCCATAAAGAAGCCTCTTATCGTAAAACTCTACACTCCTATCTCTCATATGTCTCTATCTTAAATTTGAAAAAGCACAATAACAACTCAGATTGAATTCATTTTAAAATAAATGATCTAAATGATATATATTAAAAGTGTATTGTTTGTACCTTGATTTAGGTTGGTTTTGTTTAATATCTAATTTTACGATAAAATTAAAAATATTTCTGTTAAACACACATAAAATACATAATATCTCTAAGTTTAGTGTTTCTTTTTTAAAGTTTGACAGTTTAACATTTGACCCTAATAACCGCATACACATCGTCACTACAACACAAAAACCAGAACCCAAATGGACAATGTCACCATTTTTGGACATGTAAGTTATTTAGTATATCGATTTTTTCAAAACCTTTGGCATAATATTTCATTAAAAACCATTATATACTTACTATGTAATTTTTCATCCTTCTTATTACAAACTGATTCATATCTAGAGTACACTATAAGTAGATCTTCTTATCACATATCTTAGTACCGATGGTTGATGTTTACTTCTTACTTCTTATCAATCAATGAAGTTTAAATTGTCTTTATAATCCATAAATAAAATCATCAAGTTATTATTCATACCAAAAATAAATCACTACTGTATGAAAACCTATAATTCTCAGAAAATTAAAAAAAAATTCAAAACCCAAGTTAATCAGCAATTAAAAAAAAATAAGTGACCAATACAAAAAAAATAAGATACCAATTGCACCAACAAAAATGTTCAAAACCAATCTAATCGCTATGTGTAGAAATTATTCAAACATCCTATCTTTGTGTGTTGAAATTTTATAAGTAACATAGTGCCTTCAGGCACAGGCAAGTAAATTGATATTCTCCCTGCCTAAGCCCAACATATAAGAAGGCCACCAAAACTGTATTTTCAGATGCCTATTATCAAGTTTTCGCCGTTAAGTACTAAAATATTATTCTATGCTCAAAACCTCTTCACTGACCAAACTGGGTCATCCAGCAGTTTTAAACCCATTACTGCCATCCACCCAGGACCCATTTCTTTAGACGCTCTTGGACACGAGTCTATCAACTGGACCTCCAATGGTAAGACACATCAACCCCCGACGATTTGGCCCGATTGTTCTCCGGTGGAAAAAGAAGAAGAGGAGCGTTTGTGAACTCCCTCCTATAAGTTGGGCACAACCCAGAATGTAACTCTTAACTCTGAACTGGTTGATTCAGTAATTAATGCAACAGTTTCAAGCGGGTTTTTGTTGGCCTGAATCGGGTTGTTGATGGGTTGAACTGGGGCACTGCACAGTAGGCAGCTAGAGTGAGATTGAAACCAACTGTTCATGCAGTCAAGGAGAAAGCAGCAGGGATAAACACACTATGAACTCTACCATAGGGTCATAAATTTATAATGTAGAAGAAGGTGGAGAAGGTTCTCAGCAATGATGGCTGGAGGTCTTCAGAACTGATGGTGCTGGTGGTGGGGTGGTCAGAGTTGCACGAACTTCAGGACATGCCATCGTTCATTTATTCGCATGGGTTGTATCCTGCTTAATTGGAGCTAACAAAGCTGATTATGTTGTCAAAACATTCTACATGTTGGAGGATGAGGTGAGTTGTCCTATAACAATTGTCCCAAAAAAATAACTTATTTTAATTACATGCAACCAGAAGCAAGGATGTTTGTTCAATAAGGTTTATTTTAAACACCTTAGTTTTTAGTAGGTTCTTTGCTTTGTGAAATTTACAAAGACTAACTTCCATCTAATACATTGCATAACTTTCTTCTTCTTCTCTCACACAATCATAGCTTCTAGCCTTCTACTTCCTTGCAAAATTAAAACTTCACACACCAAAAAGACAACAGCATAGGTAGCTAAGGAATCACTATCAAATTTAAAAGAGATTCGATCATACCTCAAGTATATGTAGCTGTTTGTTGGCTGCTGACAAACCCTCTCTGCCTAACAGAGCCTTGGAGTAGCTCTTTATAATCCCAAGAGCAACTTCCAATTCAGCAGGAGATTTTGAAACCTATCAATATATTATCATCAAGACACACTATGTAGTTAAATGTTACCAGAAATCTTATACCATTTTGATCACTCAAAACACATAATCAGGAAAATAGAGATGTTGGCATGTATTGCTCAAGCACAAGCATGTTGCACCTGACAAATCAACCAATAGAAGAACACCAACGGAGAATGATTCTGAATTACTCTTTGGTCGATTAAGCTAATGGAATTTGAAGTGTAATGGAACATTAAAGTTTCTGAATTACGTAAGACATGTCACTAGCCAATGAAAAATGAATTATGTGCTTTGTTAACTTATATGAATAACGGCCACTACAAGGTTGAAAACTGTTCTAAAGATCTAAACTAGTTGTAGATTAGCTGAAATTTTGAAATACTAAGAACATGGAAAAGAGCCAAGTAAAATTGACAAACCATTTGCTAAGACAAAGACAGAAAATGAGATAAAATAACCCACCATGACTTTCTCCTGAACATCCCTCCTCTTTCCACAATCTTCATATCTGGCACTAGATGGAGATGAATTTTTTCAGGTCGCGACAAAGTCCAATAGAAACGATTCAATGCAGATTTTCTCCTTTGCAGATCTACTGCCTCCTCAGCAGATGTAATGACCCCTCCATCATTTCCCTTGTTAAGACGAAAGAGCCTGGCCTCATAAACCTGGCAAAAGAGGAAGGATAAAAGAAGAGAATCAAAATACAAATGCCACATACATTAATTAAATGAACAAACATCCAGTCAACAGATATTATAAAACCTGAAATAATTCGTCCAGCTCGCAATGAACACATAAGAGACCATTCCCATTAGCTTGGCAGTTCGGACAGTGTCTCACACGTTCGATATCCTCCCCTTTTGGATCTCCCATGTTCTGGTCAATTTCCAAGAGTCTATCAAGTAAAATGTTCCTCGAGTCTTCTAGTGCATCAAAACCAGTCTGAATATAATATTTAAGAGCAGTTATGCTCCGAAAGCTGGATTAAAAACAATAGATGTAATTAGAATATCCACAATGAATTCAAAATGCAAACTTCATTAACCGCAACATTCTTTTAAAAAAAAACTAAGAATGCCATTGGACACTTTAGCTTTCTAAAGCACAGTGCTAATCATTAAGAGTAAAGCTGACAAAAAGGGTGCATTACACTCGGTGCACCTCTTCACACACAGATTTAGTCTTGACTCCCCTCAATAAGTGGCCAAAGTGGATGTGCTATAAGTTATTGAAGAAGGGGGGGGTGAGTTTCGAACTCAAGATCATACATGTTTTGGTTTGTTTTAAACCATTAATTTTTCTAAAAGCTTAAGCTTTTAGAAATGAAATGACTGACTGTTTACATGCTCCACACATAGTACTCCTAGTTACCGAGCAAACCACCGCATATAACAAGACAAGGGGGGTTTATAATGTGAGATTTAAAAACATGTCTTTCCATCAAACTGTTACTAGTTTTCCAAGTAAAGAACTCTTGTCGCAGTAGCCTGCTTCGAAGGAAGACCACTAATATCTCAATACACTTTTTTGTTTATTTTTTGGGGGAGGGGGAGGGGGAGGGGGAGGGGGAGGGGAAGGGGAAGGGGACTTGAACCCTTGACCTCAAGAAAGCAAAGCCTTTACAAGACAAGGAGTACCATTGGATCAAAGTACACTTAATTGGCATTATGAGAGCCAAATTTAGATCCAACTGACCAACCATCCAATGCCACCGATGGTAACAAGTATATCATTTGGCCATTTTTTTACCTTTGTGCCTTTCAGGAGCACTTGAACCGTCAAGAATAATGACGAGGTGGTAAAGTCTCTTTACTTTTTATTCAATGGAAAAATACATATTCGGATTCAAGACATTTTTTTGTATACTGATCTACTATCCATGAAGTAATTAAAGTTTAAGATCAGGGTGAACAAAACAAGCCAAAAAGGGTGTATATGGGACATGCTTGTTCAACCAATAAAAAAAAGAGAAAAGAAATTCAACCTTCTGAATTAGATAGAAATAACTGAATCATAACACATAATGATTATCTCAATGCAAGCACTGTCTTCCCTACCCCTATCCCCACCCCACCCCCAACCCCACAAAGGAAAAAGGAAAAACCCTAAAAAAAAAAGGGAAGTAAAAAGAAAAAAAAGCAAAATCTTCTCCTATTTCATTGTAGCTCGTTAGCTTATATCCTGATAGATGATAAAACGTTCAAATATCCCTTTAATTCTGTATATGTAGTAAACTAATCTATTGCCTCGTACCAAACATATTATCAATTGTTACTAAAAAAATTAACCTAGAAACTCCTCTATCTTCTAAGCTTTCCAAGCTTCACTAGGAAGACCGTTGACTCCTAAAACCCCAAGTCTGCTTTCTTCTTTAGTGTTATTTTCACCTCAAACATCTTTATTCCTTGGAAATTTTTGTTTTATCCATTTTCCCAAAGAGTACCACATTCTTCACCTTCTACTCTTGCTATATATTCTCATTTAACAACTTCTGAAAATGACTTTTGCTTATTCCCTTAATTTTCCCAATTCTTCATCAAAACAATCAAATCCTCAATCTTAATAGTTAATACAGTTAACATTATCAAAATCTCTTTCTCATCAATTAAACAAGATGGGCATGTTTAAAATGTTGACAAAGAGAGATTAATCAGGAGAATTTGAAAATATACAAAGTGCTAAAAAGGATGACAAAACACTGTATACGTATATCATTAGCAAAGCTTCTAAACAAGGCAAAAAATGTGATATTCCCCCCCAGATTTGCAAATCTCTTCCAGAATTCAGTCAGTTGGACCTTTACTAGTTACAATTAAACTTGAACAGTACGCTACACAAGCAATGTGAAGTGAAAAACCAAAACTATGACTAACCAGGATGCAATCCTCGATGTTCTAGATGTGTTTAGAGTCCCAGAGACAGCCTCTTCTATCTTTCTGATCAACTCACTTGAGGAGTTCTTATTTTGCTCGATATGATGTAGTGTTTCCAACCACCAAGTTGTATGTTGATTTTTTCTATCACTAAATGCACTACAAACCTTCAAAAAAAATAAGAAACAAACAATAGCATCATAGAATCCAATACAACAATGCGGGATATATGGATAAAGGACCATTCAATGATAAGAAAAATGTAGTTTATTAACTACCACTGCTAACCTGAGGTCTTGGCAGAAACCATAGTGTAATACTAATAGTGTAGGTAGAGTATAAGCTTCAATGCATTGCTTTGCATAGCTTTGATTAGTAAAAGAAATAAATCAAACATTTATTTTCTACAAAATGCATATCAAATCATATGATTTACTATAAATGCAAAATATATGGGAACTATCATCAACATAGTTGTGAATGTGATATCAAATATATTTCTTAAGGAAAGGCACGTTTGGAATGCTTTTGTAAGTGTAGCTTGTGATATCGTGCCTCCAATATAATGTAACAATGAACTCCAATGATAGCATTTCACATACTCTGAGACAGCTAGGAGGAAATATACCTGGCCATGTAACTTTCTGAACTCTTGCTGAGCCAGGAACAACTTCGAATTAAAAACAGATAAGAATTTCTGTTTTAGAGTCTCACATGCTGTTCTTAAACATTGATCACTAGCAGATCGGATCTGCATGTAGGGCTTAGCATCACAACTGTCATCACCATTTAAGTTACCTTCCAGTTTTTCAGAAGAAAGCTCAGCCGAACTCTCAAAATTATTCATCAAATCTGAGGAGTCTTCCCTGCTCACTTTTTTCCTTTTTGCAGCATGTTGATCACAGTTTTCAACCCCATTCGCCTTCGACACTTTATCAGTAGCAGTTTCAGGGGATTGCCCCTTAAACTCAAACTGTTGTAAGTAGTTTGAAGTCAAAGGGATAATATCAGCAAGATTATGATGAATGTGAATGTTTAACAAAGGGTCCAAACGGAAATCCTCAGAGTGTTCTTCAGTTAAAGCCAGCGCTTCTTTGTACAATGCTACAGCTTGAGGAAAATCCTGCTTAATTATAGCTATCCCTGCAAGCCCATTTAATGAAACAACTAATTGCCTGAGAGCTTCCTCCCCTTCTACCTTGGTCTTATCAACAAGTACCTGCAGAATAAGACCATCTTAACAAAATAAGCAATTGGCGATAGCTTCTGAAGGCAATCTGAGTAATGTGACCCAAAGACTAAACGTACTGATAATATCTCCTCCATGGTCATGGGAGACTGTTGCAAAGAACGTAGTCCAGAACTTCCCACTTGAGGATGGCAGCAGGCTTGACGGAGCTTTAGAAGTGAGTTGAACATCTTTGCAGCCTCTACGTGGGTGATGAAAGGATCAGATGGAACATCAGATAACTTAGACCCTGGAAAAGAGTATGAAACCATCATTAGACCTAAAGATTGCTTTCCTTATTTTTGCTTTCATATACTGGTTTCCATAAATTCAGAAATAAAATACAAGAAACTGTATAAACCTCTGACTTGTATCTTGAGAATATCATCTTTGAAACCCTCAATAACTTCCGGGCATAGTCCAAACAAGTTTCATGCTGCCTCTGATAAAAGTGCTCTTCAACTGGTGAGAGAGAAAGCCAAGAGATGCACTCCTCCTGGGGAGGAAGCTCTAACTCTTCCGTGACATGTAGTTTCGAGGAACGCCACATTAACTGCTTAAAGAAATTATGTGTGAATAGCATAGCTCCTGCATCTCCCCTCTGCAAATGTAAGTCCACAATTAAAAAATGGCAAAAGAACATAAACATAAGAATCTCTAAGCAATATAAGGGAGATAAATTGACTTAGTTTTCTCCCAAATGAAAAATATATGTGATCTATGTGTGTAAAATGCATCATAAGATACCCAAAGCTTGTTCCAAATAGACCTTATGGTACATGCCAAAAATAAACAAATAAAACAAACATATCCACCAGAGGATAGTATCTTTTTCATCCCATCACATTCTCTCATGGTCCCCTAAAATGGACAAAGGTAGTCAATTTTAATCAAAAGAAATAGCATGTGTTCATGTTTGAACCCTCACCTTGTGGCATAGCAACCATATGGATATGAAGAAAAAGTGAATGCTATGAAGCACGGACACTCTCGAGAACATGATGTATCCGTGTCGGACACGTATCGGACACCGACACTCTTCGGACACGTGTCCGATACTCTTTTATCCGTGTCAAATGATAAATTTTTAATTTCGGACACGTGTCGGACACTTCTTTGGTGATGTGTCCGACACTTCTTTAGAACGTTTCTATTATTAAACAATTAACATTTATTGAAATATAATTAACAAATCTTAAAAATTTGAGAAAATATAATTACTAATACTAGACATATTAAAGTTGTACTCCAAATATAATAATAAAAACAAAACGTGCATAAAAGTATTAAAAAAGAGGAATTGAAAAAATGAGAGCAATTATTTAAATTATATATTAGGTACAGATTGTCTACAAAAAAAAAATTGATGATTATTGACTATAATGAGGATGTTTGAGTCTAAAAATTCACATAGATGACTAGACATTAGGTTTTCTTATCATAAAATACTGATTTTTTTATAAATTGTATATTATTATCATTATATTTGCAATGAATTATATAATGTTATATATAAAATATAATTTTTTTGTAGCATGTCCTCAACGTGTCCGTGTCCTACTCTTTTGATAAATGCCGTATCGGCGTGTCCGTGCTTCTTAGAGTGAATGAATCAATTTATCTTGTTTTTTTTTTCTGGAATGGATCAATTTAACTAAAAAAGCTCAACATACAAAAGATGTTCCAGTTAGTTTTGCTAATAAAACAATCTTTTTTTGCTTCTCAGCTTTAACATTCAAATTCTTAATGACTCACATAGCAAAATTGAAAAGAACAATAGAAAAAGTTCCCAGAAAAAATGATTTGAAAAACTTTATACCTCATATGGATCTCGTATAACTTCGGTCCACCACCTAAGAACATCAAAAGGGCTTGCTTCAAGGAATCTCAAGAGCCCATACAAGTCATCAAGCTTTCGTTGTATGGGAGTCCCTGTAATACACCAACGATGCTTCCCATGAAGTCGCAGTGCCATTTCTGTCGCAGCAGCTGCATTACTCTCCACCATTTGAGCCTCATCCAAACAAATCCTCCACCAAATTATTCTGGTGAGAGGAGTTGGAATAACGGGGTATCTGCAACACAAACACTAGTCAACAATCGTAAATGGTCACTTCAGAAAACTCTAAATATGACAAAATATGGAGGAAAAGAAAGAAATCTTCTAAATTGGTTATTGGAGAACAAATAACTGAAAACTGGTATTTATTGTAGACAGATATTTTTCTTGGACCTGAACACAATTCTCAATCTTAATGTAAGTGACAACAAACTGCAATAAAAATCTCATACGAAGTAATGTTCCATTAGAACATGAAGCCCATCCAAGCAAAGACAAAGGTTGGTTCTTTTGACTAGAATAAAGAAATTTAAAACCTGAAGTGTACCTCTTCTGAAATCTCATAAAGCGACGATCTCCTTCATGCCTATCAGAGTCATGCGACAAGTCCTCTTTAAGCACATCATATGTTGTTAAGACAATATCAGCATGGAGAAGTTCACTGATATCTGTCACAGATGAATTTAGAAGAGATGTGTCTCTAACACCTTCATAGACAAAAGTTTTCAGCGAACCTGGATTTGTATGGCTGCAAACGGAAAAAAAAAATGAATACAGAAAAAAAAAATTACAAGAAGAAGAAGAATAAAATCTTGACAAATGAGCTTGTATATTTAGGTTGGCATTTGGCATCGGCATTGCTAGTTTGGTTTTGGCTCATAAAACTATACTGTAACCCAAGTTAGTCTCAGTTGCACTTCACCCCATCACCTTCAAAAACAGCCACACAATTCATATGTAGTTTGTGGACCAAAGTACACCACAGACTCTGTAAATGATTTCGCAAAATGTCTTCAATGCCGATAGATATAATCTTTACATGCAAAATATTCTTCTTCTTCAACATGCACACTATTTTTTTATCTCTATACGCATATATTTATATACCGGAAGTATGGTAACTGAATTATACTCAGGAAGAAAGAGAATGCAAAAAACAAGATGGAGGAAGAAATACAACAATGTGGATTCAGTTCCATTAACAAATAATAACTGGGTAAAAGCAAATAGTTTTGTTCTGGTTCATGACCCACTCAATTTCAAGGCCTGCATATAGTGCTGCCCACAGGAAGTGAAAACACCAGAGACACGATTCGTATCGTTTTTCCTTGTATATAAGAACTATGTTCTGTAGATCATCTCTCATACGAATACAACAAAAAGACAGAATGAAAGGAAGTGTTTCCACAGGAGTTGTCTCCTCAGCACTGTTCATACTGAGATATGAGAAATCAGAGTCAATAATCAACAGCAAACCAAAGAATCTTCAGTAAATGGTTTCTGAAAATTCTTGGTTGATGGTGAAGAGGTAGCAACAATCCATCAGAGACTGGTGTAATATTAAAGACTTAGTGGAAAACAATCATGGATAGAGAACTAAAGAATCTTCTCAAAGGTGACTGCTGCATGAAAGAGGATTAGAGTACTTGATCCTCATGCACTGGCACCAAATTAAATATAGAAAAATTAATTAAAGTTACTTTATTCAGTTGATATGCTGAATGTTAAGCAGTTTCCAAAGAAAGAGACGTATATCAAAACAGAAAGGAGACAATATATTTATCCTAGTCCAGTTTTAATCATAATAGAAAATATCTGAACCATCAAATTTTAAACATTTATTTAATATAATGCGAAAAACTGGTAAATAGTACTGATCTGGAACAGCTCCCACTCCAACATACTTTATTCTCCCACATTTTTATTGAGTTTTCAGCATGAATATTCTAATCTCAAATAGAAATACCACTAAAAACATGAGAAAACTACTGCTATTAGGAGAAAATACATATCTGACATGCTTAGGAGACGCAAAGCCACAATTAATTTTGTCCGAACAAGGCAAAAGTTTAATCTAATATCAACTATAATTCTTCAGGTTCCTCTTTCTTTGACATATTCATTTGATTTTAATTACAATTCCTGTGGAAATTTTTAAAGAAATTTCTTAAAGCAAAACATAACCACCCACATTGCACAATAAAGTCAGCTCACATATGCTCTAAAAAGATGCAAGAAGGAATGTTAAAAAGTAAAAAGAAGAGGTGTACCGAACAATCTCAGCATGCCACTGGGGCAATATAGGAGCTGGACACACTACAAGAGTTGCACCGGTAGCGACCGGAGAGTCGGTAGCTTGGATCAGCTCTGAGCATAGCCGGCAGATATGATCGCCATCCATATCAACTATTTTGGCACTGCTTTTCCTTCTGATCTGATTTCGTGAATTCTCGGAAATTTCTCTGGCTTTGGAAGTTTTCCCATCAGCTGAGAAGCCAACACAATCTGCATGTTGCCAAGCATCACAGATATCACACTGCACCCATAATCCTTTATATTTGGAGCTTTCACTCACAGCCCCACATATACACTCAACACGCTCTCTTTTCAACCTTTTGAGGCTATTTTTATGCTCCCCAGCGACTTCCAATAAATTGTCAGCAATATTGACAAATTCAGCTGCTGACTTCCGATGAGCAAAGATACACGCAAGCAGCTCAACGGTTTTTCCCAGGCCCATCTCGTCTTTAGTTTTCGGGAATGATCACAGTCGAAGCAACCAATGCAACATTAGATTATGACATATTCTTAACTACAAAACCATGATAAAAGACACTCGATCATAGTTAAAGCAACCACAGCAACATCAGACCAGCACATATTTAGAGTTACAGACTTACAGTAATGAGATTTCTTTGGCAATGTTAACATCAAATTTTTCTCATTAGGTTGCTTGATGTTACAATGACACAATCAGAAATTCAAAAAGCCGGAATAAACAAAAGCCAAAACATAAGGTACATGCCTAAAATGCAACTTTTGCTTGCAAACTTATGCCATGTGGTTCATTCAGAGTGACTAGATTTCCAGGCTTGACTTCACTTTTTCTGTTTTAAATTTAAACAGAGTGATCAGTATCCTTGATAGCAATGCATAAATACAACTGACAAAGACATTTCTGCCAACCTATTGCTTTGGTAAAGGGTTTTAAGTCAAGTTATATTAGTTATACTACAGAAGGCATCATTTTTTGTCAAAACCCACAATATCTAAATGGCGAGTATAAAAACTCAAATATTCTAATACAAAAAATAAGTTTCCTAACAGGTAACTAAACACTGGAAAGAACAGAAAAGTTTAAGAGTTCAAAAGGCATTACCCCACAGTTATGCACACAAATGACAAGATAGTGATACTTACCAGCAAGAATACCACCAAAGACATATGGTGAAGCGTGCTCCGAACGCAATGCAACATTGCCACTGAAAAAAAAAATAAGTAAGTGGTATAAATGGACAGATGTGGGGAAAAGGAGTACTCATTTTCTTTTGGAGGTTTTCCTAGGGTTTTTTTTTTTTTGTTGTTGTTGGGGGGTTGGGGAAAAGTGAGTGACTAAGATGAAAAAGAGGAAATTAAAGGAAGATTTTAGAAAATTACAATCATTGTGTTCTAGCCTACTTGTCTCTCTTTCTTTCTTTCTTTCTTTTTCCTTTTCTTCCATGGGGAAAAGTGCATGGCCAGTGTGTTCTATGTGTGGTCGTGGTGTTGCTTGGGAGGGGGCTTATGTCTCGTTTTGCAACAAGTGCAAGAAAGGTGATACGTATTAAGAAAATAGAAAGCAAACAAAGATAGCAACAAAGGCCACCATGAAACATGTAGAGTGCTCTTCAAATCAAATATGAAAGCAACATCCAAATGCAAATGCTTGAAGGTCCATTAATGATTGCAAGCATGGTAAGCAAACACCTTTCAAACCACAACACACTAAGATAATGTCAAAGAAGATAATGTTTTCAATAAACCCCTCTTAGACTTTAACAGTAGTAACAGGCTATAGCTTAAATTGAAGAGATGGGCCTTAAAAAGAGCCCTTGACTAGGAAATGCCTTGGTGGCACTGCCTTAACAATTAATGAATTATAAGCTTTTGATTCAACTTGTAGCATGAGTAACAACGGAAACTAAAACTGTGAGAGAGCAATTCCACATTCCATTATATACACCAATTAAGGTATGCATTTCACTAGGACAAGATTAGATGTACAACATAAGGAATCGACAATGTAAATGATAATACTTTTAGTCTATTTCGTTTGACATCCTAACATAAACCAGATGTTTGTGCATAATATGAGGAGGCTTTTACTGAGGTCAAAACAAAAGTAATCTGAGGTTGTGTGGGTTGCCGAAGGCTAAAAAGTTTAACAATTTTCCCAAACAAGGAATCTTGTGGTACAACTAAGGCAACCGAAAAACATGGCATACATAAGTGATGCATTCTGAATTCTGTAAAACAGATGCAATCAATTTAAATGCACTCACTGACAAGGTGAAGGAGCTACAAGGACAAAGGAAGACCAAAACGGGCATTGATGTTGATACATGCATAAAGCAATGGAAGAAAGAATTACAACGCCAATTTGACCCCAACCAAAGTAAAATGGCACAAGCAGATTAACATAGCTCACAGTCAGTATCAGTAAGGGCCAGTATCAGGCAGACAATATGATGCCAGTATCTTCTAGGATTATGAAACCATACCTAAATGGATTGTAAAATATCTTTGAATGTGTCTCAACTAAATTCACTGGCACACATAGAGGAGATACCAATTGACTTTTTCCACTTCCATCCAAACCTCCAGAAGGACCTTTCTCTCGTTGTACCATCCAGTAAGCTGCACGCCGCTGATAGGGTCTAAGCTCGGGAAGCAGGTCAGGCAAGTGATCCTGCAGCATTGAATCCTCCCTGCAAAGATAAAATCAGTAATTGAAAATAAAAGTTTGGGAGACAGAAGCCAGAACCAACATAAAACATAAGTTGAATTGTATAACACTGACACTCACTTTGAAGGCTTAATGGCTTCGTAAAAAACAGCAGCATCAAACCTGATTTGCTTCTTTGAGACAGAGGAATCTTCATCTGTCTCCACAGGTAAATCAATTTCCATGTCTGCTGGTAGATTACATCCATACCTAGATTCTGAAGTCATAACTTCGGGGCGCAGCCAAGCCATTACACTCATCATACTCTTTTTCCAAACTGATCTTGTACTATCAAGAAGTGACTCACATGCATTAAAGGCACTTTTCAATATCTCCACTCTCAACCTTATAGATGACATGTCCTCCGAACATGTGACCCCTAGAATCGGCCTTAGTGTCAGAAACTTCACATTCACCAAGTGAACAAGACCTGAAACACCCTCTTCCGGTCCATCCAAATTCCCTACAACCATCACCGAATGCGTCTCAGAATCCTCCAATACATTCTTTTCTATAATTTCCAAGCTTATACTACTAGCATTGAACACAGGCCAATGACCTAATTTGATACGGCCAATAAACCCCCTTACATCACTCAACCTAATCCTCAAAGAATACTTGGAATTCCTATAGAATTCGTCACTCAATTCATAACCGTAAAACTCTTCACTTATATTCAAGTTTGTCAAAAGAATTTCCGCAATGTCCCAATGCTCAACCGAAACCCAATTGCTCCCATCAACTTCAACGAAAAAGGGTATATCAACATCGGCCTCGAATTCAGAATTGGAAGCATTTTGATCATTCAATTCCCCTTGAGTATCATTATCATAGCTTCTCTGTAGTATTCCTACTGATCTATGTGGCCGAGCTTGCTTCCTTCGACCCATCACTATGCACCAAGAACACGTGCATAGCAATGCATAGAATCACAAATAAACTGAATTTGTGCGAGAAATTACAAATATTGAAGCTTTGTAGAGTTCATATTTCAAAGCTCAGGTTCACTGAACGTAAAATTAGGAAGAGATGAGTGTTTTCGAACCTAAAATTTTGCGAGCTTGTATCAAGAAGCTGACATGGAGGATTGATAGGCATATAAACAACAGGCGCGCGTTGAGTTTCGAATTCGGAGCTCAAAAGACCGTAGAGTCGGAACTCGGAGATGGAATTTGTTTCTGCACTTCACAACAAAGCTATTCTATCGTCAGAAGTCCAGCGACAATGTTTACTTAGTGGGAACTCTGGATCGTGTCGGACGCCCAGAACTAGTAACAAATCTTAATCCAATTCTAAGAATATAATCTTTAACCTTAATTTTAATCTTAACCCTATCGTGGGTTGGTGAACTCAATCCGAACACTATTCAAGTTTAATTCGGATGGACTTAAAATTAATTTCGGGTTATTTTACAGATTCAATTTGGGTAGAATATAAAATAAACTTGTTGTTCTATACCTAAAATATGTAGTACATAATATCCACCTAAATTAACAACCAATAACTTTAACTAAATTTTTACGAGAGAGGTAAAGAGAATAAGAAAGACAAAGAACGATAGAACAAAAATGAAAAATTAATGCTAATGTTTTATATATATATATAATATTTTTTTAATTTATCGGGTTTGGGTTCATGAAACCTTAACCCGAGCCTAACTCAAATTGAATTCGAGTTGAGATTTTTTAACCCAAACTTAATCCAAGTATTAAAAATTCTTGTCTAAATCTTAATTTTTTTGGGTTGGGCTCAGGTTGAAATCGGGTTGCCCAACCCAAATTGCACCCCCTAATTAGTGTTATTATAATCGGACCGGACCGGACCAATCCGTCGGATCTGTTCAACCATGACCCGGACCTCAACCGATCCGATTCTCTAATTGTATCGCATAAAGAATAGTACCGGCTGACAGTCGAAAAATCGGCCGATTTTTATAAAAAATCGTGAACCGGTCGTGAACCGGCGGTTTTTTAAAAAATCGAACGGTTTGAAGCCAAATGAAAAAATTCCTTAAATTACAATTGCCATTCTTTTGCCCTAAATCGCATAAACCAGCCACCACTCCAGGCGACCAACGAGCAGCAACCAGCGATCAGCATATCAGGGAGCAGCCACCACCGATCAGCATATCAGGGAGCAGCCACCACCGATCAGCGACCAGGCAACCAGCGAGCAACTCAGGCGACTGCGACCGGCGACCAGCGAGGAACCCAGGCGATCTCTCTCCCCTGATCTCTGCTGTCATCTCCTCCCTTTACTTGTTTCTATCAGATCAGACTGTAACATTAAGGTAAAATGTGTGTCATGCTCTTAATCTATCAGATCAGACTGTAAATTCTTCGTTTGGGTCTGAAAAAGTTGGGATTGTGCTTCATGGGCATGTAACAGTTGACGGGTATGGCTCAGATTTGTTTGTTGGGTCTGCTTTGGTGGACATGTATTTTAGTTTTCTAGGGTTGACCGTGTGTATAAGGTGTTTGAAGGAATTTCTGAGCAGGACACGATTCTTTGGAATACAATGATTTCTGGGTTGGTAAGGAATTGTTGTTTTGAGGAGTCAATTCGGGTCTTCCAAGATATGGTTGTTAGAGGGGTCAAATTTGATTCGAACTTCATTAATCTATATAATAAAATTCACTCCCTCTCTCTCCTTTCTCTCATCCGACCGTTAACCCCTCTGCCTCTCATCTCATGCTTCTTTCTTCTCTGTTTGTGCAAACAGACACACCACGATGGAGAGCCACAGCAACCACAGCTCTGCTCCTCTCTCACTCTCACTCTCACTCTCGAGGCATCTCCCTCTTTTTTTTCTCCCTTTCTCCCCCTCTCTCCTCCATCCCCTACTGGCGTCGCCAGCGGCAGCAGTAGCGACGTTGCAGGCAACGACGCCAAAATACCCACCACCGCTCTTCTCTCACTCTCCAGGTATCTTTCTATCTCTCTTCTCTCTCGCTCTCTCTCGCTCTCCCGCTTTCCCCTTCTTTCTCTTCCATCTTCGGATACCACCACGACCACACCCCTTCATCAGATGACACGTATCCCCACAACTCCAATCATATAGCACATGAAGTGTTTGTTGAAATGCCATAGAGAAGTACTTATTATATTTAAGTCCGAGTTTGATGGTGATTTCTCTCTCTCATTCCCTTGCCCTCTTCATATCTACTAGCCCTCTCTCTGTCTTCATCACACCAATAACACACACCCCTTACAGGCGAGCACAAGTTATGGTATTGGGTAGTGGTGAAATGAAATTGATTAAATAATTTTGTATGAAATTGATGGTGAAATGAAATTGATTGGTTTAAATGTTAATGCTAGGTTATTGGATGCAATTATGGTATTGGGTAGTGGTGCCATTTTGGAATTTAACAATGATGCAGTCCTTTTTTCTCCTTCAAATAAATCATGTTTGGCAAGTAAGGATCTCTATTTGACTGAGTTTTTATTACAGGAGTATCTTCTATCTGGTTGTTAGGAAAGGAAGAGAACATAAAATTTTGCATTTTTTGTTATCTTTTTGATTGGTCTCTTGAACTTAAGTGTGCTAAATGATTTTTTTTGAATTTCAAGTTTTTATCTTTCTTGAACTTTGCAAATGATTAAGATTCCCCATTGAGTATGATCTTCTTAACTGTTATTCCTTGGTTTGTGGTTGGTGGAGCCATTGTATTGAAGATAGCAAGAACAAGCAAGAAGTAAGAAAGCAAAAACTTGGCATTAGGCCGCTATTCTTTGTGTAAAATATTTTAGCATCTTGTTTATAATATGCGCTTAGGTTCTGGGTAATACTTTTAGTTGTTTTGTTTTGGAGAGAGGATATTTAAGCCATTAGATTTAGCAAGTGATTGTATATGTGCCTAGCATCTTTTGTTTAGTTTGTGTATTACCGGTTTTTGTATTTAATGACAAAATGCTTAAAGATTTGCTTAAATGAAAAGAACTCAAATCATGAGTCTAGCAATGCAACAAAAATTGGTACACGAACATTGGTTTTGTACATTTTTGATTCTTTCTAATGAGAGTTTCTTACTAATTTTTGTTAGGTAGTCTTTATAATAGTTGGATTCTTTTGACAATTTCTTAGGGGGCTATGGTAGTACCAGTAATATTGTGGTCAAATTGTGTTAATATTTGCTTAGTAATCTATTGTATGTGTTTTCAATGTGTGTCAGTCGGTTACATAACCCACTGAAATGGGTGGTTTGTATTAATCAAATCATGTGCTTGATAGCTTTTGAGAATCCGATTTCTCTTTCAAGATTAAAAACGTTCAAAATTCAATGCATGTATTGCGGGTCTGATTTAAGAATTAGAAAGCATAGTTGGATTATATAGCATGAATTTCTTCGGAATAGTTGTTGTGTCCCCTATTTTATTGGTAACCAATATTGTTTATAATTTTAAAGTTCTTTTTAGTTCATTTCAGGTTGAGATTAAATGCAAAATGAAATGGTTTGAAGGTAATGAATGAATGGTTAATGAGTTGTAGCTATTCAAATAGTTCACGAATAGGTGTAGAAAATAAGTAACTAGCCCACTTCTCTAAGTCTATCCTGAACTTCAATTCTGAAATTTTGCATTGGATGGTCTTTGTAAGCCTATTTCATGAGTTAGAATATGAGTTTATAAAAGCTTTATCTATCTTATGGTATTTATTTTGTCATTTGCCTATTGTTTTATAGTGTCATTTATTGTGAACAAAAAATGGCAGACATTTTTTTCTAATTGGCTATCTTTATTTTGTGTTACGCACAAACATTAGCTAGGATATTGACTAGGATGGATGTTGATCCTGCTATGTATTGTTAATATGATTAATTCGAGTTTGGATTGTTTGTTCAATTTTTGGTGATTATTTTTGAAGTGGTGAGTATGAGAAAAAACAACATTGAATTGAGAAAAAGTGAATTGGTTTGGTTTGGGATCATGAAATTAGTTTAGTTGATTGGTTATTGAAGTTGATTCATTGATCTTGGGGAAAGAAAAAAAATCAAGTTATGTGGTAAGCTCAGATTTACGTTTATTGGAAAAGCCTAATCTCCAATATTTTTATATGATTTTTTAAAGTTTTTTAAACATCTTTGGGCATCAAAATTGAGAATACATGTTTGTGGCACTATTTAATTCACTAATATACTAATGCTTTTAAATTAGATGGATTTGTAGAGATGCTTGCTTATCAAGTTTGATTAATTGACTTTGGTTTTTTGGATGGTGCCTATGCACAGCACGAGATGTGCAAATTTTGTTGTAAAAAGTCCATGGTAATTGTGGCTGAGTGTGCTGGTATCATAGAAGAAATTGGCAGGGTGCCTTTAGGTATAGGTATTAGCTATGAAAGTTTTGCATTGCATGGTGCCTTTAGGCATAGGTATTAGCCGAAGAAATTGTTATGTTGTGTTTGTTGATAAATTGTTGTTTGGAGGAAGGATTGTGACATGAATGGTTAATATTATGATGTTGAGTTGGGTATAATTATGAGATATATAGCCTTTGTATACAGATTGAGATTTTCTTGGACTATTATTTTTAGAAGAAATTCTTTCGATTTTTTAAAAAAAAAATAGAGAAGACTAGATTGATGTGTGTCTATGTTTAGTGTTTTGATTGTTTTGTGTTAAAGAATAATTTTATTTTTTTTTTGTAATTGCATAGATTCTGCAGGCACGGATTATGGGGGTAGTTTAGGTTTTCAGCTTAGTACGCGTCTGAGTTCAGTACTCGATTTTTTTTTGAATTGCACCGTGCCTTCAGACACGGGTTATCCCTAGTGTTAGTACAAATGATTTCGGTTGAAAGTATACTCCCGTAGAGAAAATTAAATCATTTTTGATCAATGAATTCCAATAAAAAATTCTATCAATATCATATTGTACTTCTTTATTCACTCTCCAAATTTTGTCATCTATTGATTAAATTTGACTGAAGAAATAAGTTGCAACACGTGTTATCACATTTTATAAGAGTTTAGTGTAGGTTTAAAAACAAGAGAGAACAGTGAAAATGTCTAAAACAATATGGGAGGTAATTGTAATTTTTCTTGTTGTATTATTCATGTCGGGGGTTACTTTTGTCATTTGTAGCTTTTATACTCCATCAAGAAGATGGGAAAATAACAGATTCAGGATTAGGGTTTTTTGTAGGGTGAAGAGAGCCATGAAAGGAGGAAGAAAGAATTTGAAGAGAGCGGCCGAGGAACAGAACTTTAATCTTCAGCAAGGCCAAAGCATTATGCAAGTTGTGGACCTTCGTGGCTCCAATCTCATTCAGGTACAATAAATCCTTCTCTCTCTATCTGTGTGTGTGTAATGTGTGATTTTCAAGTTCTAATTTGTGTACCTGTATGTGAAGGTAATGGATGCGAAAGGCGAGAGATCACTAGCACTATTTCCAGCTAAATTCCAGAAGAGCATGTGGATTAAACGAGGTTTTTTTCTAAATATATAGTGCTTATACTTGTACTCTGTTTGGTTGAGTACTTGTACACACTGTTTAATAGAACTTTGGAATTTCTATGAAGTTGATTTCGACAATGTATAGGGAGCTTTGTTGTGGTGGATGAGAGTGGGAGAGAGGAGGCTGTTGATAATGGTAGAAAAGTGGGTTGCATGGTCACACAAGTTCTGTACTATGAACAAGTTCGTACGCTTCAAAAGTCTCTGGAATGGTTCGTATTGAAAAGAATTAATCTCCAGATATCTCGTGATATATGTTGGCTCAAAAGTATAGGACAAACTTTTAAAGTGGACTAAAGTGCACTCATTTTCTTCAAACACTGAATCTGACACTAGCTGTCTAAAACTATTGCACAAGTAAATTGAGGTTCTATTCTTGATGTGTTCATTTTAAAATTTATCATTTTACAAATCCGTAGATGTTGTGGATGTCAATGGGTGAATTCGTTTTAGAATATGAACTTCAAGATCTTAAGAAGATGATCGTTTTTGAATCAATTATTGGCAGTAGACTCTATCTCTTCAGGCACTGCACCGCCTAATTGTTTATTGTTATTTCTTGAAATTTTGCGTCTACTTTGGACTGTATTTGGCTTACCTTACCATTAATGGGGTATAAACGACATCACACAGCTTTAGATTTGAGGGATGTGGATAATGTATTTGTAGAAGACATTAATACAGCTTTTCTGTTTTTGGATGATCCATGTGATTTTATCCTATCCTTATAAATCGGTCTGTTGCTCTAAAAGTGATCGTAGCTTAAAAAAGGATCTCCCTCTTTTTTTCTTTCCGCAAACATAATGCCAGATACTGCTGCTTGTAATTTTCACCATGTAATAACTAATTTTTACATTCTGGTGTCCTTTCTTTTATGTTCATCTTTGTGGTACTTATTTAATACTTTTGCTTATTGCTGCCTATCAATGCAGGCCAGATATCTTCAAATCCCCTATTATAGACAGTTCTAATGCAGATTCACATGGACACACTCCCCTGCAGGAGGAGAATGTATCTAACTCAAGTGATGACGACGGACTTCCTCCACTGGAAGCCAATATGAACAGAGTGAAGCCTTTAGAGGTGCAATCAGATACAGAATCAGATTCAGATACAGAATCTTGATCCGTACTTGTTGATCTCAACACAATGGACGACAATCCATTGACACTTCTGTGTCTTCTTTAATGCTATGTGTGTCCAAGAGTCACATTTCATGTTCTTTTTTTTTTTTTATTGATTGTAGTGGGATTGCTTTCTACTCGAGATTTTGCTTCCAGAAACATCCCACCTTGATCGCTAGTTATATACAGAATTATTCATATAATAGGACCAAGGCCATTGTTATATAGTACATGACCTAGCATGGGAGATGGATTAATTGTTATCTTCGAGTAGTGTTGTACCTGAACTTGCAATGTCATTGCTAGTTTTTCCCAAAAATAAAGGGCAATTGTAGTTTTTCTTCTTATTTTTTCTTGTGTTGTAAACATACCATTTACCATGTAATGTAAGTGTATCTAGTTTCCTTCTTCCCTACCATGACCTAATCTTTTTTTTTTCCTTCCAATAAGAGGGGGGTGAGCAAAAAAGAAGCAGGGGAGTTAATGAATGTTTTTTTTGGCTAAAATTACCTCTGTTAATGATTTATCAAATGCCCAGAAGAAATTTTGTGTCCTGGACAATTGGGATAGCAGTTTTCTCTGATGCCGAGCTCGATGACAAGGCCTTGGAGTTCTTAATTCTTGCAGTTCACTTACTCTTCTGTTTCGAGAGCCTGCAAAAGGTCACCCAACCTGGGAAACCTCCATTGTGGCATTAGTAAAGTAGGTTCATATTCTGATATATTTGCAGGTTGAATTGAAAAATACGTCATTTGCAGATGGTGACTGAGATTTCGTTTTTTGTGGTGACTTTGCTCAGAACCGTGATGGAGATTAAGTTGTGACTCGTTTCAACAGAGTGAAGAGAGTGGTGGTTTTTCCTGATAAATCAACTCTAACGTTAGTTTTTAGAGATTACACTGGTTCAGCTCTGTTGGAATTGGGAAATGTATGCTTGTGTACTCAAGTTCCCTCAAGACCTAATCCTTCATAATGCACTCTGAATTGCAAGTGTGGCTGTTTGGAAGACGCCAACTTTGGGATGGAGAAGGATGTCATCTCTTGGAGTAGCATTATCATAGGTGATGATGTTCTTAAAACGACCGAGTAATGATGTTAATATAAAACACACTGAATAATTGAGTCAATTCAGTCTAAGCTTCTAAAACTCTATGGAATAAGATTTGGGAGATAAGTGAGTAATTACGCAGAGTATTTATTGTAGTTCATCAATTCGGGAACTCGACTAATCTATTCTAAAAGGAGTCTCTTGCCCCTTATTATATTAATTACTGAGTGAAGTTTGCAGAAAATATTTTGTGGGGCTACAATGGCTTTTTTTATTTTTTATTTTTGAGGGTTTTCCTCCTATTTATAACTATCCCTAGGTCTTGCTTGATCTGAGCGAGATCCTCGCTTTTCGCTTCTTCCTTGTAACAGTTGCCCTTATTGCGCAATAAAATTTGCGCTTGGAGGGTGATTTGATGCCACATAATAAGGGAACTTGGTGGGATCCAACTATCTTCGCATCACCTTCCTTGAGATGTGGACACGTGGAGTTATAGTTGGGGTCAACGTCTGTAAATAATATAGATGAGTTGAGCTCCTGAGAAGTATAACCTGGGTGACAGAGCTTATACTTAGATATTTTTGCATGGTACCATCAATGGGTATGGCCCAAAAATGATGTCAGCCACAACACTTGGGCAACGAAAGTTTCAGGGACCAAACTAGCAGACCACACTATGTAACAACTTTTGGTATTTTGCTGGCTTGTAGCCATGCAGGACTAGTAGATGATTTCTGATGAATGGTGTTTTTGGCATGGATCCAATTAGAGAGAACTATGGCTGCACAGTTGATCTTCTTGGAAGAGCACGAGAGCTTGATGAAGCAGGAAAGCTAATTCATGAAATGGAAGATGAACCTGATGCCATGACCTGAATAACTTTTCTTGGAGCCTGTAAGGCTCACCAGCACATGAATCTAAGCTGTATATGCCACCAACCAAATCCTAAAACTGGACCCCAATGATGCAGGAAACCACATACTTTTATCATATATTTATGCAAATTCTCAGAGGTGGGACGAAGTGAGGACCATGATGGGTAGAAGAGTGAAGAAGGAACCGGGTGTAGCTGGATGAACGTAAACAAGCAGATACCTATTCTTCCATATCGAGGGACTCTTCACCCTCGCAAATTAATAAGATCAGTGGGAGCTGAACTAGTTGATTTGGAAATTACAGGAAATGGTTGATGTTCCAGAAACAAAATTTGTCTTGCAATGTCTTGAACGGGAACAAAGGAAGATTTGCTCCTTTACAACACTGGAGAAACTGTTGGGTTTGATATGATGAACTTGTCGCCGAGCAGATTATGAGGAGCAGGACAAGCCTCAGGACCTGTGGAGACTGTCATGCTTTTGCAAATCTGTTGTCTAAGATGGGAGTGTCGGAACATTGTCATAAGGGGTCTAATCCGTACCATCAATTGCATGATGGAGTTTGCTCTTGTGGGGATCATCGGTAGCGGGAGATGATGTTATGAGCCTTCACTACCAGCAGTACTGCAACGCAAAGGACACCATTTATGCTCATACTTTCAAGTCAGATATACAGGCCGATCTCTCTGATCATCCAAATCATTCGTGCAGTGCTGTATCAATGCCAAAAGATTTTGCAGTTTGTTCGGTTGTAAAGACACTTCTCTAGCACTCGCAACCTCGGAGGGAATTCTCGAATGACCGTACTGAGGAATTTTACTATACTCTGTGCAGTTATTGTTGTTGATCTCAGATTGAAGGAAGTGGGTGATATGTGTTTTTATTTCTATATGAAGCTCTATGGCACCCACGACTCCTAATAGTGAGTTATTGGTATATCACGTGTAACAAATCCTTATTAAGGGCCTAGCTTAATTTCCCTTGTTCTTCCATTTTGGTTAATGTTCATATGCGAAGCATACTGTGCAATTTGAAACGCAGAAATGGTATCCATGGCAGTTAACAGAAATTATGCAATAAAACAAACTTACAGTATATTGTCAGCAAGCATCCATGATGAATCATCCCATCAGAGCATTGGTGATTCTCAACCTTCTGAAGTTTCTTATACATTCCCCGAAATTATGTTATTCTCAACTCCCGTTATTTTCATACAACGAAACAAAAACTGTCCTCGAACAAAGCCTTTTGCAGACCACGAGAATGACCTAACACTATCTTACAACTCTTCTCTGGAAGCATCACTTCCTTTTGTCTCCACAAAAGATGCATAAGCCTTTATTATTGATTCATATATACCAACTCCTTTTAAGTACTCGTCCTTGTTCAAAAACTGCAACAAGATGAAAAATATTAGAGTCCGAATGAATGTTCCGCAATGCAACCAAAACAAGATACAAGGAAAATTGAATTTTTATGAACAAATCGTTTTGTCATACTTTCGCTCTCTAAACTGCTAGCCAATTTGAATTCATGAGATTTATCTGGAGATAAAATGGAGCAGCAAAGTTTCCCGAAACAAATCAGCTAAGTAGTTATTTGATCAGAAGTAATACTACAAAACTCAAATAAAACCTAAAAAATTGCAACTCAAATGTATATCATCCCTTGGATGAGTGCTCAAAAAATACAACCCAAATGCATATCATCTCTTGAATTAGTGGGCCTCATCAACTTTTTCAGTAGGATCCACTCATCCGATGGATGATATGCATTTAAGTTACACTTTTTGAGTTTCATTTAGATTGCGTAACATTTTCCTTCGATCAGCTACTCCATTATCCAACCTATATATGTACATAATGAAATAAATGAAACTACTGTCTAAAACACAGGATAAGATGTTTACCTCATTGTGGTCATGAAGTAAAATTGGAGTGTTCGCCATGGGTGAAAAGCCAATTGCCGGCAAGCCTAGTTCCCGGAAGTAGCGGGCATCTGTGGAGGCAGGAAAGATCTCTGGTTTTCCAAGTTTTCCATTAACTTTCTCAATAGCTTCTACCAACAGGGCCCACCAAGGATTAGAACTGTCAGATGATGTGAGGGTTGGCCTCCCAAACTTATCATGCACAGAAACCTTCTGCTTAAACTGCCCAAGCTACAACCACGGTTAGGGCACATTGGCAATGTAAAATGATTTCAAGACCTCCAAAAATCCAACACGCTTAAGCAATGCATGTATCTATATATCTGTCAATATGACAATATGTTCCCAACTAATCAAGACAAGACACAGTATCTTATGAATGTCTGGATAACATATTATTTTAAAACCTCTTGGTAATGGCTTACAAAAGAAACATAAAATGCTCATCAATGTATGCCATCGCGTATGGAAAAGAGAACAGTTTTGAACCATGTCTGCAGAAGCAAGCATATGCTGTATCATTCATTTTGAAGTTTTGTTTTTCTATTATGATGAAATATCACATTTTTCGGGGCGGTTGAGAAGAATTCCTCATTTTGGCAGAGCTACAATTCTTCCTTTACAAAAAAACTCACTACTAGCAATGTTTCTTTTTTAGTGCCTGAGGTATTTTTAAGCTCTTTTTCAAATGTTTAGAATCAACAAAATCAAAAAGAAACTGAAGCCTTCCTATAATATAAAACCTTTAACCATCAGCTAAATAATAGGGTTGTACTATTTTTCCCTTCCCAAAGCTTTTCTTTCCAACAAATGAGTATTAAGGGAGGTTTCGTATTCAAATTTGTCCTTTTTTGAACACAGGATCATGATATATAATTAAAATACCTCTGAATCACGTCATTATTATGGACTCAAGAAACTTTTAGAATGGAGCTCAATAGTTTCTATCCAAGTCATCATAACTGCATATTTCAATGCAAAAGGTTATTTTTAGATAGAAAAAATGGGGAAAGAATGATGCAACATGACAAAGAAAGAGCTCAATTGAAGCAACCAAGGCTCACATCAAAGACATTTGAAATAACAATGAAAAAGAAGAGTTCAACTCTTCCTTGCACGACTAATATAGTTCACATAAGATAGTATAATAACAGTTTTACTACCTCAAATGTCATGTTACGTGAAGCAGGTGCCCATTCTTCGGCAATTCGCCTCTCCAAGGATGCTGGATCTGCACTTGGTGGGACTCGAATATCAAATCCTGCTTGTGCTTCAGACGGCTGCAGATTCATGACAAAACCCTGATGGAGAATAGAAGTCAGTTATCCACTCGTTTAAACTTACAATTCATAAAGTTGCATATGTTTATCTGTTTAGTAAGATTAGTGGCATTAATGAGCTATGCATCTAATTGCCGTGGTTAATTTAAGAAGAAACTTTCCCAACAATTTTTTGTGCATTTGACAGAATTTAGATGCTTATAGAAAAAAAAATCACAAACCCAAGATTCAGTAAGCCACGTCAATGTTGAGTGGGCTATATCTCTAATTATCAACCTACTGTGTAATTTCTGTTGTAAATAACAAACAGTGTCATCATTATAAACTAGTAATTAAACTGAACACACCACCTAAACAGATCACAGCACAAAAGGATAATGTTATGAACGATCTCCATTGTCCTAGCCGTACTAATAGTGTGATAGGATTTCAGTTCGAACATGGGAACTGCCCCAGTACAAATGTGATTGCAGTAGAAGATGCCAAGAGTGTAATCTCATAAACCATCCAATTATTATTACTGCCACTAAATTTAATAAAGCAACTGGTTGAAGCAAAGACAAGTCGTCTATAAACATGCCATCAATCACTTACTGTTGGAGATGGAGTGCCAGCTTTCAAGAAGACCATATTAACCGAAATGACTTCTCCTTCAGACTTCATACCAGCCTTGACCAAATCAAACTGAGCAGCCCTAAACCTCCTGACACTCTCAATACTCTTCAAGAGATTCTCCATTGCAGTGTTGTCATAGAGCTTAGCCCCATGTCCAGGAGCTCCAGTGGCCTTAATAACCAACCACCATGGACATCTCTCTCCATAGAACACCCTGTAGTTCTCATTCGGTGATGCTAAACCTTCATCAAGCACAATCCCAACATTCATCTCTTTGAAAATCTCTGAGTCAGCCAACTTCTCGGCACCATCATGCCCACCAATCTCCTCATCAGGCACAAATGACAAATAGATATTCCGAACTGGATTGAACCCGGAATTCATTAATTTTCGTATGGCCTCCAGATACTGCAAGCCTACGCACTTCATGTCCTGAGAGCCTCTGGCGTATATGTTGCCTGTATTTGGATCAATATGGGACTCAAAAGGAGGGTGGGACCACTTATGGTGCTCAGCAGGGACAACATCAGTGTGGGAATTGAGAAGAATTGATGGGAGGTTTGGGTTCTTGCCGGGCCATTTGAGAAGGATGACCGGTTTGCCGTTGGCAAACTCTAATATTTGGGATTCGAGGGAGAGAGACTTGGCTTGGGAGAGGATGAAATCAGCTGCTTCGTAGTAGTTGGGGTTTGGTTGAGCCGTGTTGATTTGCAAGTATTGTTGGAATCTTGATATGACTGCAGATGAGTCTTCTATGGCCATCACAGGAAGTGTAAACACCACTAGAGATAGAGACAAGAAGTAAAGACGAGGAAGGAGATGAGACTGAGGGGGATAGCTGCTGCCACTTATCTCCATTCTTTAGGTGTTCACTTTGACTACCTTTGTAACTATATAAAGAGTCAAGAAGTGACATGATTAGCACAACATAATCAAACTTTTAAACTAAGTATATATTATTTTCACCCCGATCATCTCTTCTTCCCCATTTGTGAGAACAACGAAAAAAAATGGGAAAACGAATTTAAAACACAAAAACCGACAACTCATAAATAAATTCCTTATTAGCATGTCCCGATATTATCTACAAGTGAGGGCATTTCACTTAACACGATTATCAGATAAACTCCCCTGCACCTACCCATGATTAACACTTGAGCTGATAAGAGAAATTGAAAACAACTGTACTATTCCTTAAGACATTCATAAACAGAAGAAAGTTCCAATCCAAAAAAAAAACACAAATGAAAGCGGCAGTCTAAGTCATCAAGATATTTAGTTGTAGTAATGCTCTAACGCAAAGCTATTTTCCAATTAGAATCAAAACACCAACAGCAAATAAACTGAGAGTTTCAGCACCACTCGTAATCAAGCTTTTGCTATTTAATCAATCATATTCGTTTTGAAACATACTGCAAGTTTATATCGAAGACTTTTTGGGCATAATTTTGCTCGAATTTTGTCCATGAGGGCAAATTTCTATACCAATCAGCGCATGTAGAAACCAACCCCTAAATCCCTATGTCATAGCGCAACAACATGGTTGTAGAAATGAGTTTCGTTCAAAACACAAATGGCATGTATTATGCAAATATATGATATCGAGTAGAGAGATGGAAGTAAGTACCTTCTGTCTCAGATTATCAGCGATGAGCAACGAATGTAATTGGCTGATACCTTAACAGATAGCTGTGTGTGTTTTTGTGAGAGAGAGAGAGAGAGAGAGGTGTTAGATGAGACTGGAGTGACAACTGAAAAAGCGAAGAGAGATGAGATGAGACAGATCGAGGGAGTGGGCAGAAGGGGAATAGCGGCCGGCGGTTGACTGAGTAGTCCAAACCAATGGAAAGTGGAATTCTAATAATCCAATAAACAAGGTTTGTCTAATGGGTCGGAACTCGGAATTAACCTAATGGGTGCGTTTGGTTAATGGAAGACACAGAAAATGAAGCAAAACAAAAAAAGTGAAAGAAAATATATTTTCATGTATATATTTGATTAAGATGAAAAATTTTTAAGAAAATTTTAAAATAATTTCATTTCATTGTTTGAAAGAAAGGAAAGTTATAAGATTTTTTTTTTAATTATCTAAATTATTCTTAATTATTTTAACTCAGTCTAAAGAAAAAAAAATTTGTTATTATTCAAATTTAAAAAAAATATGACTTCTAATCTAATTCAGAGACAAGAATCGATTCAAATTCTGATCTCTAGATTAAATTATATGGTTAGTCTAATTTGTACAATGTTTTTTTAAATTAATAATTAATTGAATATTTTTTAAAAAATAAGAGTACAATGGGAAGTTGAGTCATTCAAAACAATTTTTTTACTTTTTCTTGTGTTTTTTGTAAGAAAAAAAAAGTTAGTTAAATGTGAGAAAATCTAAGCATGGAAGAAAATTATTTTTACTATCATTTTCTATTTCATGCTAAACAAACACATGTAAAATTTTAAAATTTTCTCTTTTTTGTATTTTCTAGCATTATCTTACTAAACAAATAGATTCTAAGGGTTGGTGATAAGTTCTAAACCCAATTCTCATGAGTTTAAATTATAATAATTTTTTAAAGTCAGGGTATAAGAAATTTATTTTTCATAAATACCTTAATTTCGACATGAATGACTGTTTTTCATTGAACCAAAAAAAAAATTAATCGAAATACGCTTTAATTAATCCGAATACCGTTGAAGATAATTAAATCAATTAACATATTAAATTTAAATTGGTTTTAAAAATTTGTCAGCCTAACACATCAAAATACTGTGCTGAATTGCTATTATGTTTGTCATATTGCGTTGGGAAGTGTCACTCCAACACAGCTAATATTTTTTTAGGCCAAGTCATTTACTTTTAATCAAATTAATGACATTCCGACCTACTTAATTTGTGTCAATTTCCTTGCCCTTCTATCTTACTATCTCTTTTATCTTACTATATATTTGCAAATTTAGTTCGAAACTATGAATAGATAGGCTGATAAAATAGAATATTGAAAAGTTAAGGTGATAAAATTGATTATTGAAAAAGTTTTAACTGAGTTTTGTTAATTAGCGGTTATTCAAAAGACTTCGCAAATCATCTTTCATTTAATTTAATTATTTTATATATGTATATATAACATGAATAGAAGAAATTCTAATAGATTAATGAAAGTTTAAAATCCATATGATTTCCGATGAAATAAAATCCGTAACATGTGTAAGACAGGAATAGGAAATTCATTTTATTCTATATTTTCATTATATATACATATGTAAGACGGGAATAGGAAATTCGTTTTATTTGCCTAATTTCATGAAAAGAAGAATTCACTGTTTTACCAGTATGTAGGTGATAGTCTTGATAAATGCACTGAAGTTTTGATCATAGAGGGGTTAAATCTTTCTTTTGAAGAAGTGAATAGCCTCGAGTGTATTTTCGGTTAAAGTGAAGACATTTCACTTTTTTTTGCTGGTTATTCTGGAAACTGAGACACTTCCTTTTAAGAAAGAATCTGAAATACAGGATTGACACAAATGGCAGGTAAGTCATTTCAGAATATTTTTAGTTACTGAAGTGGCAGAATCCCCACTGAGAAAACATTCAGTAGGGCCAACCTAGAATAGGTACTTGATAAAATCAGTATGATGAAAGAAGAGTTAAGGAGGTGATAGCTGTGGCTTCCTCTTGTTTCATTAATGGACAACCCCACAAAGGATTTATGGTAGGCCACGGCTATAGGATTATTATCAAGGCGTCAAGAGTTTTTGAGTCCAGTGCCTTTTTAAGTCCAAGCAGTCATTTTTTAAAGTCATTTGGTACATTTTTTTTTCAAATATAAATTTAAAGATGGTCGTATTCTCGGTCGTGTCTTGAAGTGTATTATGTATTTGTGAGGATTAATTCGTGTTTTAGGTTGTAATCTTACTTAAGTAAATTTTGAGGTTATACAAACGAAAATGCATATACCTAATATTGTTGTATCCACTCATAGAAGCTTTGATTGTATCCCCATTGATAGTTATTGTAAGTTTTATGCGTAAATTTATGCATATGGAATGGAACATTATGGCAATAGTTGGCAAATGTTGAATAACTACTATCATCCAAGGGTTTCAGTTTTAACTATTGATACAACTCGACACAAAATGAAACTAAAAAATGACACGATCAAATAATAAATGGATCAAATCACGATTAAACATATATAACACAATTAATTGCTATTGTCAACAAAAATAATTTTTTTTTTAATTTTTTTAATTTCTTTATATAGAGTATCATATGAATTATTAGATATTTTTAAATTCATCGGATTTTTAAACGAAACTCATTGGTTTTTTTAAAAAAAATTCATTAAATACCCTTAAATTCTTTACTTTTAAAATGTTAATTTAAATTTCTTTCATTTCCTCAATCACACGTTACCCTACTCTGCTTCGCAAACCTTTACTCGACCTATTCCATTCTCTTAGCCTTATCTGTCCGATTCTCTCAATTTCCTCAACACTTATGTATGATTCTCAAGTTTGAAATACACAACTTAAAACATCTAAAAAAACTCTTGAAAGCTCGGTCGTTACAATATTTCTATATTTTGTGTAAGACTACGGTGCCGAGGTCATTACCATATCAAAATTTATAATTTTTTTAGGTTAAGTTATCTATACTACTATAAAATGTCAAAATGCATGAAAATTTTTATTTGGACAATTTAATCCTTCACAATTTTGAAAATGTCAAGATCACCATTGGAATTGGAATATCAAACACTTGTGGCATTAATCATATCACATGGGTTATTAAATATTTCAAAATGAACATTATTGTATTTGTTTAGTGTAGATATATCACTCTAAAAGGTCTTATAATGTCAAAAATATTATATTAACTTTTCATCTTTTAATACTTTCATGTTGCTATTAACTCTATCATGTGTAAGATAGAATAAGTGAAAGGTCATATTAATCTCTCTTCCTCCTCAAAATAATTAGCATAATCTTCTACTCTTCTTAGATATATATCTATATCAATATTTGTTCTATGTATATCTATCTACATCTATATACTACTCCTAAAAGTCTCTAAAAAACTTTTATTTTTCTATTTCACCCTTTAATGTCAATTCTATCCACTTGTTTAAATTTCTCCGCCAACTCGGTGGTGGCAGCCAAATCTACAATTAATCCAACTGTTTTTTGTTTCGGGCTATCCAAATCTTTTATAATTTTATTGTGATTTGAAATCCCTTGGAATATCTAATTATTTATTTATTTTATAGTCACATAAGACTGGAAAAAAAGTTAAAAGAATCAAAATATTTATAAGATGTGCAAGCTAAATCAAATATTTGAATGGTTCTTATTTAGCAATTATTTTTAGAACATCTCTTTTTGAGGGTTTAATGAGTTCAGCTATTACAAATTTATCTTCTTTGAATTGGACGTACAAGACCTGTTTTCTCAAAGTCTAGTTTCTCGCTTGTTAGTAAAGCTTTGAAGTCCCTACTTTCTTATATTATGAGATATTTGAAGAAGCGCAGATTTGGAACCCTGTACAAGCGACTAGTCTTGATCTTGCTTGGTGTTGCTCATCTCAATGATTGTTGACTCAATGTTGATTTTGTGCTCGAGTTGTAGGGGAGCCCTCCATCCGTTGACTCAAGTAATTCGCCATTAAAAGAGGGAAGAGCCTTTACTTTGGGTTAGGTCAATCTCATCATTCACGCAATTCCCTTCTTTCATGACATGAAACACTTGTAACAAATCACATAGAGACTTGAAAGTGCTAACAAGTCGTGCTAACAAGTCGTGCTAACAACCCATTCCATGGGGAAGAACAAACAATTTTAACAAAAGCAATCCCCAATAGCAGTCCCCTAAACCCTACTACTACAAATGCTTACTGCCCCTATTATGTATATAAAGCATTTTCTTCTTTATAGATGAGGGAAAGTCTTTTTCAGTACTGCTCTCTCCAACACAAATAAAACACATGAAAAAATGGAGACTCCATATGTGTTAATTAGAACAAAGCACAACAAAAATTAAAACAAATGGGAAGATTAAATTTTATACCATGGCAAAAATTGTAAGGAGGACAGGGAATATTATTATGATAGCTAGCTACTACTAACATGAAATGAGAATAACTGACATCATTATTGATTGAACCATTTTATCAAACACACCACAACTATAGAAACTAGAAAACTTACAATCAACTTAAAATTCGATAATATAATGACAAATATGGAAAAAAGAGCAATAGCAACACATATATTCCCTCTTGCATTGAATTGTAAAACAAATAAGACTGCATATGTAAACAAAAGCAATTCTCTTATCATATCAAAGACATGCTTTAGAAATTACTTCTTCATTCTTGTAACCCTTAAAGCATATCAATATAATAATAATCACGGCCACGAGGTATGCAAAGGAGATAACAACATCTATTAAATAACTCATAATAGAGAAAAATGACTTCTTTGGGCCTCAACGTATACATAAGAGAAAAATTTTGGGCCTCGACAACTTTAGAGTCAGTTTGGATTGTATATCAAAAAATAATATTTGAAAACAGTTTTTGAGAAAAGTTTTAGTTAGAAAAGTGTTTCTGAGACGAAGAACTTGTTTGATTAGATGATTTTAAAACAGTTCCACAAAATAGAAAAAAGAAAATTTTGTTTGGATTGATGGTTTCATATAAAAATATTTTAATATATTAAACTTGATAAAATACAAGAAAATAAAGAAAGGGCAAATCTAGCCATCAACTGAACTGCGTTGTTAGAGTTTTACCGGAATAGACGAACCCAAAATTTGAATCTACGTCAATTGAACTGGTACACGATGGAGAAGACAAATCCAATATCCAAGATTCA